CAGGGGACTCGCAGGACTCTTCTCCAGCACCAGAGTTCAAAGGCCTCCATTCTTTGGCGCTCAGCATTTCTTATGGTCCAACTTTCACAGCCATACATTGCAACTGGGAAAACCATACGCAACCATGGAATTGGGTATATCTTGTTTAATGAAGAGAAGGACGAGGGGGGACATGATAGCAGTGTTTCAGTATCTCAGGGGCTGCCCCAAAGAAGAGGGAGTCAAGCTATTCTCCAAAACGCCTGAAGGCAGGACAAGAAGCAACGGATGGAAACTGACCAGGGAGAGAAGCAACCTAGAAATAAGGAGAAATTTCCTGATATTTTAGAACAATTACTCAGTGGAACAGCTTGCCTTCAGAAGTTGTGGGTGATCCAACACTGGAAGTTTTTAAGAAGAGACTGGTCAGCCATTTGTCTGAAATGGTACAGGGTCTCCTGCCTGGGCAGGGGGTTGGACTAGATGACCTCCAAGGTCCCTTCCAGGTCTTGTTATTCTGTTAAATACTTCTAAAATTTCAGTCTTGGTTTCTCTCCAGTTTTAGAACATCACACCTTTGTTCAGGTGAAAGATGACAAGAGTTGAAGACAAATTGCATAGGAAGGTTTAATCATTCAGAGCATGGCTGATACATGTCTATTTTGGGAACTCAAAATCATTAAGTCTCTTGCACACGCACACACACACACACACACACACACATATTTAGACTGTATCTTCGTTCTTCCTTCATCCCTTTTCTTTTCTTTTTTCTTTTTGTCTCTGCACTATAGAGAATAAAGCTACTTATTTCTGTTGAAATATTCAGACTATAAAATGCTGGCTGGCGCGGAAAAAAAGCAACGGCAACTTTTCAATAAATAGCTTTACTTTTCATTAGGACATACTTTTCAGCAAAACTCTGGTGGAGGTTTGGAAAGACTTTACAAATGATCAACCCGTTTCATAATCATCCAAACGGCAGGCATTGGGTCTCTGCTGGAGACATGCAATAAGGCAGCTGGTGAGACCCACAGATGTTTTTTTTTTTTTTCCCTCAGCTCGGAGTCCGTAAAAATATAATTTCACATCCAGCCCTTGCCTTGTGTCTATGTCAACACCCATGCCTGTTCTGCTCCGAGTATATTCTTTGGCTCAACAAATGGCAATCAGGCAAATGTGACGTCAGATGTTTTATTTTCGCAAGACGCTCTTCATTTATTGCAACCAGAGGAAATAGATAAAAGAAAATATTTGCGGCTCAAGGTTGAACTGTGTTATCTGAGCTTGCTGGCTTTCTTGCAGACATTTCATCACCCCCGCTAAGTAACATCATCAGTGCTAGAAGGGAGTAGGATTTGACTGACTGATTGACTGACAGACAGACAGACAGACAGACACCAAGTGGCTTGACCTTGCCAGTGTTAGTGGGAGTGTTCTTAGTTAGCATGTTGTCTGTGTTGGTAGTTCCTTGACTGCAGTGCTGTTTATCTGACTATTGGCCCAGTGTTAATCTTAGTGTTAATCTCTGCTCGGATGGGTGTTGATTGCATCTGCTCACTAGTAAACAACAGCCTAATCATGGAACTACCAAGAACAGTCTCACCAATGCTGACAGGGCCAGCCACAGTATTTACAGATAAAATAAGAGCAAATACTCCTTCCTTCTAGTACTGATAATGTTACCTAGTTTGGTAATGAAACGTCTGCAAGAAAGCCACCAAGCTCAGGGAGCATCAAGGACCCCACAGTCCTTTTCTTCTTCTTCTTCTTCTTCTTCTTCTTCCTCCTCCTCCTCCTCCTCCTCCTCCTCCTCCTCCTCCTCCTCCTCCTCCTCCTCCTCCCTCTCTCTTCTAGCACTGATGACGTTACCTAGTTAGGGTAATGAAATGTCTGCAAGCAAGCCACCAAGCTCAGAGAGCGCCAAGGACACTAGCAGAAAAGTAGACGATGGCAGCTGCCTCTAAGCAACCTCTTTAACGAAGAGCACAATTGCTCTTGTGCGTACCTGGGATCTTTATGCACCTGAGCGATCCCCTGGACTCCAATGCTGTGACTCATAAATATCTCATGAGGCTCTTTTTTAATTCTGCTTCTTGAGATACTACGGATTTAATAAAACATATATATATATATATATATATATATATATATATATATATATATATTGCAACTGCAGGAAAATCATCAATGCTCGCTGTGTCCTTTTCACTGTAGTTATTCTTACACCCCATCTTTCTGCTGTGAGGGTTGAAGACACTATGTGGAGATCCTGCGGTTCTCCAGGCCTGGCCAACTGGCCTCACAGCTGTTGCAGCTTTTGTAAAGTTTCTCTATCACCAGGTGCTGTTTGAGCCCGACATTTCTGTTGCCAAGCAAGATAGTTGTTAAGTGAACTTTGCTGCATTTTACCCCGTTTCTTGCCACAGTTGCAAAATCAGTCCCAGCCATTGTTAAGTCGCTAACACTTAACGCTTAACTTAACACTTCACTTCACTTAACGGTTGTGGTGAATCTAGCTTCCCGCCATTGGCCTTGCTTGTCAGAAGACCTCAAGAGGGACACTGCAACCGTCATAAATATGAGTCCGTTGCCAAGATTTTGATCACGTGACCAGGGGGATGCTGTAACCGTGGTGAAAACCACAGTTGCAAGTCATTTTTTTTACACGCCGTTGTAACTACGGTGTCACGAAATGAGTGGTTGTTAGGTTGACTGGCTATATGCTCTACGGCGCCAATGATGAGACCGAGACACTGATTTACAATTCAGTTCGAAACGTTGCAACAGTCACTCAATGAACTGTTAGTAAGGCGAAAACTGCTTGTACGTTCCCTGCAACCGATTGCTCGGCTAATGAGTTCCGCTTTCCTTTGGGCTCGGCAGCTGTGAGTAGCCTGCTAGCACGAGGGCCACCCATTTCTACCTAAGGTTCTTCCAGCTCACCCGTGCTGTGGTCTTTCTGAGGCTCTCTTTCACGGGCGTCTTCCCAGGTTCGGCGATTTGGCTTGGCCCAACCTGGTTTAAAATGGACCTCTTTGTAAAATGGTACAAGGAGGGGGAGCGGATGACTCAGTGCTTCTGTTGAGGCTATTCTGCAAAGCTGAGCCAGGCTTGGGAGCCAGTGGACCATCTGGACCGAAGCCCGTTTCTGATGGCATATTGCCCATAATATCTCCAGCCAACCTACGGCCATGGGTTGCTGCATCCACTTTTGGTCACCACGATGTAAAAAAGATGACGAGACTCTAGAAAGAGTGGAGAGAAGAGCAACAAGGATGACTGGAGGCTAAAACATATCAAGAACAGTTGCTGGTATTGGGTATGTTTAGTTTAACGAAGAGAAGGACAAGGGGGGACATGATAGCAGTATTCCAATATCTCAGGGGCTGCCCCAAAGAAGAGGCAGTCAAGCTATTCTCCAAAGCGCCTGATGGCAGGACAAGAAGCAACAGGTGGAAACTAATCAAGGAGAGAAGCAACCCAGAACTAAGGAGAAACTTCCTGACAGTGAGGACAATTAACCAGTGGAACAACCTGCCTCCAGAAGTTGTGGGTGATCCAACACTGGAACTTTTTAAGGAGTGATTGGACAACTGTTTTTCTGAAATGGTACAGGGTCTCCTACTTGGGCAGGGGGTTGGACTAGAAGACCTCCAAGGCCCCTTCCAAGTCTGTTATTCTGTTCAATACATCTAAAATTTCAGTCTTGGTTTCTCTCCAGTTTTAGAACATCACACCTTCGTTCAGGTGAAAGATGACAAGAGTTGAGGACAAATTGCGTAGGAAGCTTTAATCCTTCAGAGCATGGCTGATAGCAGTGTTCCAATATCTCAGGGGCTGCCCCAAAGAAGAGGCAGTCAAGCTATGCTCCAAAGCCCCTGAAGGCAGGACAAGACGCAACGGATGGAAACTCATCAAGGAGAGAAGCAACCTAGAACTAAGGAGAAACTTCCTGATATTTTAGAACAATTAATCAATGGAACGGCTTGACTCCAGAAGCTGTGGATGCTCCATCACTGGAGGCTTTTAAGAAGAGACTGGACAGCCATTTGTCTGAAATGATACAGGGTTTCCTGCCTGAGCAGGGGGTTGGACTGGATGACCCCCAGGGTCCCTTCCAACTCTGTTATTCTACATAAAATCAGAAGCCACTGCTAAACCTGACTTTGGTAAAGCGTCTTCCACTGTAGGCAAAGAGTTTGTCTGGATTTCTTTTTTCTTCCATGGCACAGAGAAATGATTTCCTTTTCTTTCCAGTATATTTCAATCACAGATAGTCCTCGGCTTACGACCACAGTCAGTTGAGCCCCAAATTTCTCTTGCTCAGGGTTACAGTTGTTAAGGGACTTTTGCCCCATCTTACCCCTTTTCCTGCCACAGTTCTTAAGTGAATCACTGCAGTTGCTAAGTGAGTAACACGGTTGTTAAGTGAATCTGGCTGGTCAGAAGGTCATCAAAGGGGATGACAGGACCCCGGAACACTGCAACTGTCACAGGTACGAGTCAGTGGCCAAATGTCTGACTCTTGATCACATGACCCTGGGGATTTTCAAACGGTCGTCAATGTGAAAAAGAATCAAAAATCCATTTTTTTTCAGTGCCCTTGTAACCTTGAAAGGTCACTAAACAATCTGTTGTAAGTCAGGGACTATCTGTACTCAACTTCCACTGAGAAAAATGGTGCTGATAAATCCCCTCCAGATGTTTATTCTTCCCCTTGTTTTAGGGTACCGTTTCCAGGAACTTTAAACATTTATAATCAGTAAAGGCTTTGCAGTCCAAAATATCTGGAAGGCATCAGCTGGCCTGCTCTGTGTTTTGGGGTTTTGTTTTTTGAGAATTTCATTTCCCAAGCAACCCATTTCAGAGATAACAATCCAGATGTCCTCTGACGGAGTTACGAAATGGGAACGATTGTCTGAATCGTCCTCAGTGTAACAATATCTACTAAGAACCGAAGAACTGATTAGACATAATTTCCACAGCTCCTTGGCTGTCCTATCAAGTTCTAAGACTTCTAAATTACTGTTCTCTCTTGTTCCTGATGTAGGTGCCCATAAAATGATTGCAACTCTGATGTGGCACAAGAGACCTGGATTTTTTTTTTTAAAAAAAAAAAATAAAATGAAAGCTGTCCTAGATACCCAAGGTAACACCTGAATGCACATCTATCCATCTTTTCAGACTCTGGCTAATAAGCATATTCATGGCATGTAAATAAGACTGACCCAAGTCCATGAATAAGTGGATGAGCAAAGCAGAAAACTCTTAAAAGCTTCTTCTTCTGTTTTTTTTTTTCTCTCTCAATAATATGCACTATTTACACAGCAGCCGATACATTCTGTATTACTTCTTTGCAGAGATAAATTAGTCATACAACTCAGATGGACGTCAACGGCCTACGGTTAAAAAAAAAAGAAAGAAAGAAAGCAACAACGTTCTGTAAAAAGTGTAAACTTTGGTATCTTTTGAATGGCTTCTTTCTCCACCCCAAAGCAAGATTCCATCACGGTCCCCCCTGAACGAATCGTGTGTCAATAATAATAACAATAATAAGCACCTGATATGCAACATAGATTTTTTTTGGGGGGGGGGGAATTAACCAGGCTCTTAGCTACCGGCTTTCTCAATCACAAGCTTTCTGAACATTCAAGAAAGTCAAGAGTTTGGGAAGAGAGGTGCACACGGAAGAGGAAGAAGAACATATGGCTGGAAGCATCCGTCAAGTGAACCTGCACTTTTTTTTCTTGTTCAGTTGTTGTTGACGTGAGGTTTGAAGATGTTGCACGGTATCTTGGACAAAGCAAGGAGACCACTCGCCTCTCCCATGAACTCCCCACTTTAAAATTAAGATTCCTAAAGTTTCATCTCCCTAGAGTGGAAGACCTTAATGGTTGCTGTCTTTCAGCTGGCTCTTCGTTTCTCCTTGGGGTTCTGGGAGAAGAAGGAAGGTCAACGGAAGCGGGATGGTGCGTCACCACTGGCCTGGTATCCAACAAAGGTAAGGAACGGTGACTAAGAAGATGCCCATGATTGGTGGAAAGGTTATAGTGCGATGCAGTTGGTCCAGGAGTCTTGCAACTGGCTGGATTCCGAAGTTTCCGATGAGATGGAGGAGCAACTTGGACCTTTCTGTAGATCGGAGGAAGAAGGACCTGGGTATTGTCTTCCGGCGAGGACATTCTGCCCGGAACACTTTGTCGCTTGAAGTGAGGAGGGACTAAAGAAGTCGGGGTGACCAGAGGCTTTGGAAGGACTGCAGGGCTGGCGATGAAGCCATCTTCATTTCCTGCCGCTGCTTCGCTGTAGAAAGGAAGCGGGAGGTGGACGCTACGTTGGCTACAGGATTCACAGCATAACTTTTTGTAGCCTGGTATGGAGCAGTACCGGGCGAGCACTTCCATCTGGCAGAAGATCGACTTGTCTCCTTGGCAAGGTTCATCTGAAAAACAAAAGCCCTTTGTGTGTTAAAGACGGAGGAGGAGCTTCCACAGAAGTTGCAAACTGTGACGAGCGTCAGTCTGGATCCATTCTTACGTACCGAATCGTAGAATGTAAAGTTTAAAACAAGGGTAGGCAACCTTGGCTCTTTTATGACTCGTGGACTTCAACTCCCAGAATTCCTGAGCCAGCAAGGCTCAGCTTGGAAACCTCTCACTTTCCCCTCAGCGTGGCTGGCTCAGGAATTCTGGGAGTTGAAGTCCACGAGTCAGAAAAGAGCCAGGGTTACCTATCTCTGGCCTAGGCCTAGGCCGCTTTATGACTCGTGGACTTCAACTCCCAGAATTCCTGAGCCAACATGGCTCAGCTTGGGAACCTCTCACTTTCCCCTCAGCATGGCTGGCTCAGGAATTCTGGGAGTTGAAGTCCACGAGTCATAAAAGAGCCAAGGTTGCCTACCCCTGGTTTAGAAGGATCTTGAAGAACATCTAATCAAATCCACTGATGGAATCTACTATTAGAGTGTCACCAACAGGCGGCCCTCCAGCTCTGGTGTAAACACCTTCGGTGAAGGAGAGTCCACCACTCATAACTCTTCCATACGGATAGTTAGTTTAAGCACACATTATTTTCATTTTGCTACTGCTCAACAAAGCAGCTGAAACACTGGAGACAAATTCTTTGGGTGTCCAATCACACTTGGCCAATGACGTTACTTCTGGAGTTAATCTAATTTCATCATTGAAACCAGGATGCAGTTACATTGGCACGTTCTTTAGCATTTTATGAAGTATCCTAATATGATTTACGGTATTTCATTTGCTTCTTTGGTATCCTATGTTTATCACTGAGTATTGTATCTTATGATTTATGACTATTGTATTTTATGATTATGATCATGATTTATCACTTGTTGCTTGTATGTACTGTACACTGAGAGCTTATGCACTGGACACAAATTCCTTGTGTGTCTATTCACACTAGGCAAATATTCTATTCTATTCTATTCTATTCTATTCTATTCTATTCTATTCTATTCTATTCTATTCTATTCTATTCTATTCTATTCTATTCATTTTTTCCTCTATTCCTGTTCTGTTCTGCTCTGCTCTGCTCTGCTCTGCTCTACTCTACTCTACTCTACTCTACTCTACTTTATTCTATTCTATTCTATTCTATTCTATTCTATTCTATTCTATTCATTCTTTCCTCTATTCTATTCTATTCTATTCTATTCTATTCTATTCTATTCTATTCTATTCTATTCTATTCATTTTTTTCCTCTATTCCTATTCCTATTCTATTCTATTCTATTCTAATTCTTCTATTCTATTCTATTCTATTCTATTCTATTCTATTCTATTCTATTCTATTCTATTCTATTCTATTCTATTCTATTCTATTCTATTCTAATTCTTCCATTCTATTCTATTCTATTCTATTCTATTCTATTCTATTCTATTCTATTCTATTCTAATTCTTCCATTCTATTCCATTCTATTCTATTCTATTCTATTCTATTCTATTCTATTCTATTCTATTCTATTCTATTCTATTCTATTCTATTCTATTCTAATTCTTCTATTCTATTCTATTCTATTCTATTCTATTCTATTCTATTCTATTCTATTCTATTCTATTCTATTCTATTCTATTCCATTCCATTCCATTCCATTATCAAAATCCAGGCATGTTTTTTTCTCTCCCATTTCTAGAAATGGGTGGTGTACTTCAGAACATTTTTGCCTGTCCTGGGACACACATGTATTTTTCCTACGCATTTTTGAGAAGCTCCATTCTGAACATGGGTGAGGACAGAATTACGAACGGTAACTTATTCTTCTTAGCACTCTCTTTCAAGTTTTAGCAACATTTTGAAATGTCAAAAGCTTTAGGAGTGCATCTCCAGGGAGCTACTGCTTGGATAAATAAGATTAGAGGGGATTAAGTAAATTGCCCCCTGAACTGCACCTTGCTTTCTGGAAGAAAAGCAGTTTCTACACATTTTACTTAGAGACCTTCTCGAAGTTGAATCCTGCTTCATACATTCCATACTGGTTGGTCTTTCTGCAAAGGCAGCTGGGACTTCTTAATTTTTTTTCTCTGAAAATTGCCTCTTATTCTCAACGCTCGTTCGGCTTTATTCAAAACCTTTGAGAAGACTTTAATGGAAACTGCTCATCCCTTTACTCTGGGATCTCCCTCTCTCTCTAACTAAATGTTTTAAAAATGTTTGCCTTCAGGCTTTTAAATATCTGATGGGCTTGTCTTAACATTTCCACCACTTGCTGTTTTATTGATTGGGTTGCCTTTGTTTTTCAAAGAGCTTCATTATTGCTTGCCCTTCTTTGCTTTTTTTCTGTAAATCACCCTGAAAAAAGCACTTCTTGTTGGATCTACTGGAGACGATGAAGCTAATTGGGAAGATGTGGCTTCAAAGCAAAGAAAATTATAAAAGCAAAACAAAACGAAAGACCGCTTCTTAGCTATAGCAAGTGTGTCAAGAGGGAAAAAAAACAGAACTTGGAATACTGGGGCTAGAAGGGACTGTGGAGGTTATCTAGTCCAACCCCCTGCTCAGGCAGGAAACCCTATACCATTTCAGACAAATGGTTGTCCGGTCTCTTCTTAAAAACTTCCAGTGTTGGAGCATTCACTGCTTCTGGAGGCAGGTTGTTCCACTGGTTAATTGTTCTAACTGTCAGGAAGTTTGTCCTTAGTTCCAGGTTGCTTCTCTCCTTGATTATTTTCCACCCATTGCTTCTTGTCCTGCCTTCAGGCGCTTTGGAGAAGAGCTTGACTCCCTCTTCTTTGTGGCAACCCCTGAGATACTGGAACGCTGCTATCATATCATATTATTATTATTATTATTATTATTATTATTATTATTATTATTATTATTATTATTATGATCATCGCACAGTCAGCCAGATGTTCAGACTGGATTTGGCATTTTGTCTACCTATCGAGTCCTTACCCAGGACCTGGGATAGGCAGATGTGGATGTTTGATGGTATTACAGATATCGTCGCAGGATGGAAGCAGTTCCTAATAAGGCCGCCTTTTGCAATTGACTAATAGCGAATTTGTCAATGCCAATGGTGTTCAAGTGGTGCTCCAGTTGTTTTGGGATTGCACCCAAGGCGCCTATTACTATTGGTACTACTATTATGATTATTATTACTATTATTATTATTATTATTATTTTAAAATTGAGAAAGTAATACACTGAGGTTGTATGCTGCTTCCCTATTTATTTAGAACACAACAAAACAAAACAGAACAAAACAACAGAGTTGGAAAGGACCTTGAAGATCTTCTAATCCAACCCCTTGCACAAGTAGGAGACCCTATAACATTCAAGACTAGTGGCTGTTCAGTCTCTTCTTAAAAACTTCCAGTGTTGGAGCATTCACTGCTTCTGGAGGCAAGTTGTTCCACTGGTTAATTGTTCTAACTATCGGGAAATTTCTCCTTAATTCTAGGTTGTTTTTCTCCTTGATTAGTTTCCACCCACTGCTTCTTGTCCTGCCTTCAGGTGCTTTGGAGAAGAGCTTGACTCCCTCTTCTTTGGGGCAGCCCCTGAGATATTGGAACACTGCTTTCATGTCATTCCTTGTCCTTCTTTTCATTAAATTAGCCATACCCAATTCCTACAACTGTTCTTCATTTGTTTTACCTTCCAGTCCCCTAATCATCTTTGTTGCTCTTCTCTGCACTCTTTCTAGAATCTCAACATCTTTTTTACATCGTGGTGACCAAAACTGGATGCAGGATTCCAAGTGTGGCCTTACCAAGGCCTTGTAAAGTGGTATTAACATTTCACGTGATCTTGACTCTATTCTGTTGCTTTTCTCTGTGCTCTTTCTAGAGCAGGAGTATCAAACTGCCAGCCCAGAGCCAGATGCATCATGCCAAAACCATGACCATCCCATTGCCGCCAATGGAAAAAAAAGTTGTGATATGTCACGACATGTCACATGACGTTGTGAGTTTGACACTCCTGTTCTAGATAAGATAAGATAACCTTTATTGTCATTTTTATATTGTGGGCACAATGGCACACATCAAAAATGAAACTGAGTTGCCCGCTCTCAAAGTGAAACACATACAGTCTGGACATTATGATTCTTAGGGATGTAAAGAAAATTCCTGGTCCCCCACTAGGTTTGTTTCTATGGATGCAAATTCGCCCCCTGTTTTGTGCCAGTAATGAAGTCAGCTGAATAGGATTGTTTTGGAAGCCTTGATGTTTGAAATGAAGCAGAAAAAAATTCTATGGATTCCCAGAGTCGCCAAATGGATAAAGCTCTGCTTCCCTCTAGTGTCCAGATGTTCAGAAACATCCTAAAACTAAAAGCAAGCTATATATTTTTTCAAGGATGTTTATCTTACCGATCTGGTGCCTGACAACTTCTCAACAACTTTGACCTGATTTCTAGGAAAAGTGGACACTCTGTTCTCTGGGACAGCCCCTCAAAAATGGGAATACTTCCAACAGGTCACCCCTAGTTCTCCTCTTCATTAGACTAGACGTACCCAGTTCCTGCAACCGTTCATCATATGGTTTAGCCTCCAAGGGTCTATGACAGGGCTCTTCAAACTTGGCCCTTGTATGACTTGTGGACTTCAACTCCCAGAATTCCTCAGCCAAGCATGCTGGCTGAGGAATTCTGGGAGTTGAAGTCCACAAGTCACAAGGGCCAAGTTTGAAGAGCCCTGCTTATGAACTTCAACTCCCAGAATTCCTCAGCCAGGCACGATGGCTGAGGAATTCTGGGAGTTGAAGTCCACGAGTCATAAAAGGGCCGAGTTTGAAGAGCCCTGCTTGTGGACTTCAACTCCCAGAATTCCTCAGCCAGGCATGCTGGCTGAGGAATTCTGGGAGTTGGAGTCCACATGTCATAAAAGGGCCAAGTTTGAAAGACCCCTGCTGTATGACTATTCGCCCTGGCCAGCTCGCCATGGACAACTCGTCACAGCCAATTCAGCACAGCCAACTCAGCACGGCCATCTTGTTGCGGACAACTCGCTGCAGAACAACTTGCTGCAGGGCAACCCGCTGCAGGATAAGAGTGATACTAATATCAAAGAAATGCTGGAATAGAATCATTAAAGAAAGGATGCCAACGGAGGGGCAGAATGAAATGTGAATGGCAAACGCTAAAATAGCTTTTTATTTATTTTAAATAATTTAATACTACTGTTAAATTGGCCGTGGCGAGTTGTCCCAGGGCAAGTTAGCCAGGGCGAGTTGGTTGTGGCAAATTGTCCCGTTCTGAGCCTCCAATCCCCTTATCATCTTTGTTATTCTTCTGGCTGCCCAATCTCTTCTTAAAAACCTCCAGTGATGGAGCACAGTCAATTTCAAGAAGCAAATTGTTCCATTGATTAATCCTTCCTATTGTCAGGAGATTCCACCTTATTTCTAGGTTGAATCACTCTTTGATGATCTTCCACCCGTTGCTTCTTGTCCTGTCCTCAAGTGCTTTGGAGAATAAGTCAATTCCTCCTTTTCTGTGACAGCCCTTCAAGTACGGGGAGACTGATAGTCATGTCACCCTTAATCCTTCTCTTTGTTAGGCTAGACCAGAGGTAGGCAATCTTGGCTCTTTTATGACTCGTGGACTTCAACTCCCAGAATTCCAGAGCCGGCCATGCTGAGGGGAAAGGGAGAGTTTCCAAGCTATCCTGAGCCAGCCGTGCTGAGGGGAAAGGGAGAGGTTTCCAAGCTAAGCCATGCTAGCTGAGGAATTCTGGGAGTTGAAGTCCATGAGTCATAAAGCGGCCTAGGCCTAGGCCAGAGGTAGGCAACCTTGGCTCTTTTATGACTCGTGGACTTCAACTCCCAGAATTCCTGAGCCAGCCGTGCTGAGGGGAAAGGGAGAGGTTTCCAGGCTATCCTGAGCCAGCCGTGCTGAGGGGAAAGGGAGAGGTTTCCAAGCTAAGCCATGCTGGCTCAGGAATTCTGGGAGCTGAAGTCCATGAGTCATAAAGCGGCCTAGGCCTAGGCCAGAGGTAGGCAACCTTGGCTCTTTTATGACATGTGGACTTCAACTCCCAGAATTCCTGAGCCAGCCATGCTGAGGAGAAAGAGAGAGGTTTCCAAGCTGAGCCAGGCTGGCTCAGGAATTCTGGGAGTTGAAGCCCACGAGTCAGAAAGCGACCTAGGCCTAGGCCAGAGGTAGGCACCCTTGGTTCTTTTATGATCCTGGGCTAGACATACCTAATTCCCTCAATCATTCCTCCTATGTTTTAGCTTCCAGTCATCTAATCATCTTCCTTGGTTTTCTCTGCCCTCTTTCTAGGGTCTCCGCACCTTTTCTGTATGGTGGTGACCAGAACTGGATGTAGCAATCTAAGTGTGGCCTCACTAATGCAGTTTAAAGCAGTACTCTCACCTCGTGTCCTTAATACTATCCCTCTGTTGAGGCAACTTTGAAAATGCTTTGCCTGAATGATTTTTACAAAGCCTGTTGTTTCTTTCCATAACTCTTACATTTTTAACCTACGTGAACTGAATCTGTTCCTTGCATTGATCTTTTATTTTGATGAGGAGTCCTCTGAATTAAATCATTCTAGTGCACTTATGGCCTGCTCTACCACCTGCACCCGATTATCACTTGCAAGATTCTGTGAATGTAACCTTACAGGAAATTAGAATTAGACAATCTGGTTGTGTTTTCTGTCTGAATCTATCCAGTGGGTTGAGATCAATTTTGCAAGCCTGAAGGGGCAATTTTCTTCCATCAATGTTACCCTGAGGGTGTTTTGTTGGGGAACTGCCAGCCAGGCTGGAAGGCAGAGTCAAGAGAGGGTCTAGCTTGGAGTGCTTGTGCAGCCGCAAGCAGCATAGGCTTGACCTGCCACAAAATCTGGTCATTCCCAGGAGAAGGCAAGCAGTCTGAGGAGATTCTTGTAACATAGATGGTAGGTAATAAAGCTACAGACTTTAATTGTTTATGAGTGGCTCTGATTGCTTGCATCTGCCTACAGGAAAACAACTAAGCTCAGAGGGCATCAAGGACCCTACAATGAATAAATTACTACTAGTACTTACCATTGCAGGGTGCAAGTTTGCAAACCCTCATGGATTCTGGCTTTTCCCCATCACATTGATCACCAGTGCGGCATGACACCTGCCTGGATTCTGTCCCTTCCCCACAGGTGACCGAGCACTACAAGAAAAATAACAAGAGGGGGGGGGCATGATACAAACAACTAGGTTTCTGCATCTGAATGCTCAGTGATGCTAGAGATGGGTGCACGGATATTTTGTTTTACAATGTATGGAAATATTGACTGACAATGTATGGAAATATTGACTTTCCAGGACAAAATCCGGAATTAGGATTCCTTGCTTGGTCTTTCATGTAACTGTTGTATATTACCAGGAGATGAGTGGGAATCCTGTGGGACGTCATAGGTCAACAACCTAAACAAGCTAAAACCTTCCCTTCTCCAGTTGTATCTGACTCTAAGGGACAGTGCTCATCTCCTTTTCTTAGCCAAAGGAGCCAGCGTTGCCCCAAAATGCCTCCGTGGTCACGTGACCAGCATGAATATATGCCAAGGAATCACGGAATGCTGTCACTTTCCCATCAAAGTGGTATCTACTAACCTACTTGTACTTGCATTCTTTGGAACTGAATAGAATAAAATGGAACTGGAAGGGACCTTGGAGGTCTTCTAGTCCAGCCCGCTGCTCAAGCAGGAGAACCTATACTATTTCAGATAAGTGACTGTCTAATCTCTTCTTAAAAACCTCCAGTGATGAAACACCCACAACGTCTGAAGGCAAGCTGTTCCACTGGTTGATTGTCCTCACTGTTGGGAAGATTCTCCTTAATTCCAGCTTGCTTCTCTCTTTGATCAGTTTCCAACCATTGTTTCTTGTCCTGCCCCCTGGTGCTTTGATGAATAACGTGACCTGCTCTTCTTTGTGGCAGCCTTTCAAATACTGGAATACTGCTATCATGTCACCCCTATTTCTTCTTTTCTTTAGACTAGCCAAACCCAGGTCCTGCAGCTGTTTTTCATATGTTTTAGTCTCCAGGCCTTTGATGATCTTAGTTGCTCTTCTCTGAACGTTTTCCAAAGTCTCAACGTCTTTTTTGTAGTATGGTGACCAAAATTGGTTGCAGAATTCCAGGTGTGGTCTTACTGGGGTTTTATAAAGCGATACTAATCCTTCGCATGATCTTGATTCTATGCCTCTGTTTATACAACCCAGGACTGTATTACCTGTTTTGGCTGCTGCTGCACACTGCTGGCTCATATTGAAGTGATCGTCCACTAGGACTCCAAGGTCCCTCACAGTTACTGCTTTTGAGCAGGTCTCGCCTAATCTGTACTTATACCTTTGCTTTTTCCTGCCTAAGTGTAAAATTTTGCTTTTCTCCACATTACAATTCATTTTGTTGGATAGGGCCCATTGTTTGAGTTTGTCAAGATCTTTTTGGATCCTGAGCTTCTCTTCTGGGGTGTTGCTTGGTGGGCAGGAGCTGAAACAAGAAACGGGAGCTCACCCCATCCTGCAGAGTTTGGGTCTCAAACATGGGTTGTCAGCTGACAAGTTCAGCATCTTTAACCACTGAGCCACTGCATTAACAGCCCAAATAGAAGAGCACTAGCTCCTTGATATAATTCAACAGTAAGGACAGGATCCATTGTCAGGGATAGATAGGTAGGTAGTCAAGAATATTGTCTTAGCCCTTGTCACGATCCAAGTTAAATGTACAGTCCTGGAAGAAAATAACCTTTCCAAAGGATCAGAAACTCGGGACTTGAGCTGAGGTTAGGCTAGTTTTCACAAATGAGAAGACTTTAAATACTTACTGAACTCCACGGCCCTGTTTTCCACTGAGCAGGACATGGTGTTCTATTACAAGCCCTGCGACTCTCAGGACGTTCTCCACCGCAGTACTTAAAATGAACGGAGCGATTTCCACCATCGTGAAGCAGCTGAACGCAACGTACACTTCGGATTTGATAACCAGAAGTCCCACAGGTTTTGGTGCAGTGCTCCCATTCTTCTGCTATCCAGCTGCAAAAGAGAAAGAACAGATTTTTTTAACGTTGAAAAACAGGGAAGCTTTCCCCTGGTCTAACCTTTTTGTATGTTTCCCGTTGTCTTACCCTTTTTGACCCTATCCCCTTATTACAGTGGTTCTCAACCTGTGGGTCGGGACCCCATTTGGGGTCGAACGACCATTTCACGGGGGTCGCCAAACAATGCAGTCCGCCATTTTTTTCCCCCTTTTCCTTAGCTGTGCTACTCCCTTTTATTCTATTGGCTTCTGAAAGCCAATAGAATAGACTCTCTTGAATAGAATCTAATTCTATTGGCTTTCAAAAGCCAATAGGAATTGTCCAGGCTGTCTCTGCCCTGCTGAGCCCGCCAAAAGTCCCATTCTGCAAACGGTGCTGCACCAGTTGAGTAGTCCTCGACTTACGACCGATTGAGTAGTCCTCGACTTACGACCGGTTGGGGGTCGCGGCATTAAAAAGGTTGAAAACCACTGCCTTATTACCTTTATAAAACTCAATAAAAATATTTATATATAAAAAAGGGGGAAGCTGACGGACATGGATAATTAATGATCCATAAAACGATCCTTGTGGACCAAAGCGCATGTGTAGAACATAACATTAAATGCTGCGTTGATTTAGCTGGCCTAGCTACCATTTTCCAAAACGGGCTTCTTTGTACAGATAGTCCTCAACTTATGACCATGATTGAGCCCCAAATTTGGGTTGCTAAGTGAGAAATTGGTTAAGTGAGCTTTGGCCCCGTTTTACGACTTTTCTGGTCATGTTTGTTAAGCGAATCACTGCCGTTGTCAAATGAGTAACACGGTTGTTAAGTGAATTTGGCTTCCCCAAATTGGCTTTGCCAGTCTGAAGGTCGCAAAAGGGGATCACCTGACACCCCCCCCCCCCGGGACACTGCAACGGTCACAAATATGAGTCAGTTGCCAAGCGTCTGAGTTTTGATCACGTGACCCCCGGGATGCTGTAAGGCTTGTAAGAGTGAAAAACGGTCAGTGCTGTCATAACTTCAAAACGGTCACTAAATGAACTGATGTAAGTGGAGGACTACCTGCAATTCACTGCTCTGGGGTTTATATTTTGATGCAGATTTTATACGCTGAATTTGATGCAGCAGGCTGCATTATGCTACGCCGTGCAAAATAAGTAAATAAATCCAAGGGTATTTCAGTTGTTCCCATTTGCCAAGAATCAGTACCTTAGTAAAGCAGAATACTAGAAAGAAAGCGCTGGAGTCTAAGCCAATGTTTTCTCTTTGCCTACAGGAGGCTGAGGGATTCTGCATGATACTCTCCCATAATTTACAATAGAGCCAAGCAACTTTTTTGTTTTGGTTTTTAAAATAAAGGATGTGCTTCTTTCCTCTGCACAGAAAACCTTGTACGGTATTGTTATAATATGACAGATGAGGCTGGAACCTTATTTTATGACCTATGTTCAGACTTCTAGGTTGGAAGCTCATTTTATTTTATTTATTTATTTCATTTTATTTTATTATTTTATTTAATTATTTTATTTTATTTATTTTATTTTATTATTTTATTTTATTTTATTATTTTATTTTATTTTATATTATTTTATTATTTTTATTTTATTTATTTTATTTTTTATTTTATTTTATATTATATTATTTTATTATTTTTATTTTATTTTATTATTTTATTTTATTTTTATTTTATATTATATTATTTTATTATTTTTTATTTTAATTTATTATTTTATTTTATATTATATTATTTTATTATTTTTATTTTATTTTATTTATTTTATTATTTTATTTTATTTTATTATTTTATTTTTTATTTTATATTATATTATTTTATTATTTTTATTTTATTTTATTATTTTATTTTATATTATTTTATTATTTTATTTTATTTATTTTATTTTTATTTTACTTTACTTTATTATTTTATTTTCTATCAGATTTTTATTCCATCTTTATTACTTTATAAGTATCTCATGTTGGTGAACATTCCTAATATTCCTTCCTCCTATTTTTCCCACAACAACAACCCTGTGAGGTGGGTTGGGCTAAGGGAGTAACTGGTCCAATGTCACCCAGCCTGCTTTCATGCCTAAGGTGGGACTAGAATTCACAGTCTCCTAGTTGATTGGCCCAAAGTCACCCAGCCGGCTTTTATGCTTAAGGAGGGACTAGAACTCAATGTCTCTGATGATTGGCCCAAAGTGACCCAGCCCGCAGTCTCCAGGTTTCTAGGCCATTACCTTAACCACTACCCCAACTGGCTCTCCTTTGTCCACATGTATATAAGCAAGACTGCAAATGAGTGAGTCTACATTTTGTTCACTGGAGGAGAGATGCTAAGCTCTGCCAGACAAAGTTCCTTTGTTAAACCCAAGTGGCCAGGATGGATAGATTATAGAAAAGGAGCAGATATACTTACAATGGCTGAGTACATTCCTGAAGATTGCACATCCTACGAATCGGTTTAGGCTTTTTACTAGCGTCACAGAAGCTGCGCTGCACCATTTTGTTATCACTTTTCCTGCGGCACCCGTACTTGGTGAATTGGAAGCCTGGAGGAAGAGAGTGGGAGAACAGATAACATCCACATTAAGTGAAAAATAATCTAGCTAACAATAATGGAAATGTTTCATCTTAACAATTTATCTGCCAGAAAGAAGAGGGAGTCAAGCTATTCTCCAAAGCGCCTGAAGGCAGGACAAGGAGCACCGGATGGAAATATTCAAGGAGAGAAGCAACCTAGAACTAAGGAGAAACTTCCTGACAGTGAGAACAATTAACCAGTGGAACCACCTGCCTCCAGAAGCTGTGAATGCTCCAACACTGGACATTTTTAAGAAGAGACTGGACAGCTACTTGTCTGGAATGAGCAGGGGGTTGGACTAGATGACCTCCAAGGTCCCTTCCAACTTTATTGTTGTTGTTGTTGTTATTATTATTATTATTATTATTATTATTATTATAATCCAAGACTGGGAACAATAACACAGCCGTTGTCAGGTGTGAAAGACCAAGGCCACATGTTAAACTTCAACAAAACTCATGCCTATTCACAGGAATCTAGTCAGCTAATAGTTACCACTATTTTAGCGCTAAATATGACTTAACGGAATTCAAGAGTTAGGATTGATCTTGATTTGTTTGTGGCTACGTAGAGACTCTAGGCTGAATCCTCTTTTGACTCCACCACCAGACCCTGCCTCTTCTTCTCCTACAATCATGCAGTTCCAGCATCTGCATATATTTGCAAGCTGTAAAAGCCTGGATCGAAGTGGCCTTCTGGTTGCGATCCAATGGCAAAACATGTTTTGCATGTGGGAAGCAAGGCCAGAAAGTCCTGGCTTGGGACGGTGGGGGCAGGGAGGATGGCTATAAAATAAAAGCACGAAGTTTGTTTTCTGCATCGTTTTGCTGCTACTTTGTGGTCATTTGTGTTGTTGCCTATGAGATTGGATAGTGGTAACGAAAGATTTCAAGTTTTTGTTCTCTAGGAAGGAAGGAAACACTAGGCCAGGGGTAGGCAACCTTGGCCCTTTTATGACCCGTGGACTTCAACTCCCAGAATTCCTGAGCCAGCCATGCTGAGAGGAAAGGAAGAGGTTTCCAAACTGAGCTGTGCTGGCTCAGGAATTCTGGGAGTTGAAGTCCACGAGTCATAAAAGAGCCAAGGTTGCCTACCCCTGGCCTAGGTCGCTTTCTGACTCGTGGACTTCAACTCCAGTGTATCAGCTGCTTTGTTGAGCAGTAGCAAAATGAAAATAATTTGTGCTTAAACTAACTATCCGTATGGAAGAGTTATGAGTGGTGGACTCTCCTTCACCGAAGGCGTTTACACCAGAGCTGGAGGGCCGCCTGTTGGTGATACTCTAATAGTAGATTCCATCAGTGGATTTGATTAGACGTTCTTCAAGATCCTTCTAAACCAGGGGTAGGCAACCTTGGCTCTTTTATGACTCGTGGACTTCCAGAATTCCTGAGCCAGCATGGCTCAGCTTGGAAACTCTCCCTTTCCCCTCAGCATGGCTGGCTCAGGAATTCTGGGAGTTGAAGTCCACGAGTCATAAAGCGGCCTAGGCCCAGGCCAGAGATAGGTAACCTTGGCTCTTTTCTGACTCGTGGACTTCAACTCCCAGAATTCCTAAGCCAGCCACGCTGAGGGGAAAGGGAAAGTTTCCAAGCTGAGCCATGCTGGCTCAGGAATTCTGGGAGTTGAAGTCTATGAGTCATAAAAGAGCTGAAGTTGCCTACCCCTGCACTAGGCTAATATTATGGTGTTGGGGCGGGGGGAAGATGACCACTAATTAACAAGGAATGATAGCAAAGTCAGCCTTTGCGCCAGCTAATGTTTGTCTGGATTTCTGATGCCCGAGAAAAACGTGTGCATGAAACCTTAGGGAAAAACTTGCCAATGGGTGTTGGCAGTGTTACCTCAGCTATGTAGATCAAGTCAGCACATAGTGGCTTGTTATGGTGTTAAACTTGTACTGTCTGTTTTGACTTGCTCTGAAGGAAAGTTCTCTCTCAACTTTATTATCTGAGATACTTTTCAGAATATAGAATAGAATACAGAATAATGAAGTTGGAAGGGATCTTGGAGGTCTTGTAGTCCAGCCCCCAGCTCAAGCAGGAGACCCTATACCAGTGTTTCTCAACCTTGACAATTTTAAGGCATGTGGACTTCAACTCCCAGAATTCCACAGCCAGCATTGCTCTCTCCTTGAAAACCTCCAGTGATGGAGCACCCACAAACTCTGAAGGCAAGCCGTTCCACTGGCTAATTGTTCTCACCCTTAAGAAAATTTCTCCTTAGTTCTAGATTGCTTCTCTCCTTGATTAGTTTCCATCCATTGTTTCTTGTCTTACCTTCTGGTGCTTTGGAAAAAATATCTGAATTTCCTGTGACAATTCATCCTGTCTCCTTTCCTAAAAATTTTGCATTTGTTTGCATGTTTCAGATAAATGAATAGCAGATCCTTCTGAATTGTTCCTGGTTCAGATATGGATCAAAATGCATATTAAAATTGTGCATCGTATATTCCGCTGTATAAGATGACTTTCGCAAGGGTTAAAATTGGCGCCGAAGTTGGGGGTCGTCTTATACGCCGAGTCGTCTTATATGCTGGAAATACTGGTAGTTTCTAGTGTATAAGACGACTTTCTAGGCTTGCGACTCGGCGCCGAAGACGGGGGTCATCTTATATGCCGGGTCGTCTTATACGCCGGCATATACAGTACTCAAGAAAATATTTTCGGGAATGTTCATTTTATGGAAAAACATTATAAAATCGTAATAGCAATAGCACTTAGGTTTATACACTGCTTCACAGTGCTTTACAGCCCTCTCTAAGTGGTTTACAGAGTCAGCCTATTGCCCCCAACAACCTGGATCATCATTTTATCGACCTCAGAAGGATAGAAGACTGAGTCAACCTTGAGCCGGTGAGAATTGAACTGCTGGCAGTCGGTAGAGTTCACCTGCCATATTGCATTCTAACCACTGTGCCTCCACGGATCTATCAATAGCACTTATACTGCTTCCCAGTGCTTTACAGCCCTCTCTAAGCGGTTTACAGAGTCAGCCTATTGCCCCCTAACAATCGGGGTCATCATTTTACTGACCTCGGAAGGATGGAAAGCTGTGTCAACCTTGAGCAGGTGAGAATCGAACTTCCAAACTGCAGGCAGCCGGCAGTCAGCAGAAGCAGCCTGCAATACTGCATTCTAACCACTGCGCCACCGTGGCTCAGTAGTTGATTTTGAAAAATGAATTTTTCAAAATCAACCATTGAGCAAGTTTATTAGAGAAAAGATCAATCTCAGCATAGAAACAGGACCAGAACGTATTTACGAGTGGTGGTGGTAAAAGATAAAATTTCCCCTGTCCAGTTGTGTCTGACACTAGGGGCAGGTGCTCATCTCTAATTCTTGGCCGAAGGAGTCAGCATTGTCCAAAGATGCTTCCGTGGTCATATAGCCAGCATGACTATACACCGAGGCTCATGGAACACTATTACCTTCCCACTGAAGTGTTACCTATTTATCTACTCGCAGTTGCTTGCTTTCGAACTTCTAAGTGGGCAGAGCTGAGGCAAGGAACGAGAGCTCGCCCCATTGTGCAACGCTGGGTCTTGAACCTTTTCAGCTGACAACTCATTGTTTTTAATTGTCAACCTATCCCACATAGGTGCAAAATATAGACATCCCCTTGTTCTTCCCTTCCCAAGTATTCCAACGTGCCTCCTCCACAGAGCTTGGAGCACTGGGACCAACTCTTCAAAGCCCACTCAAAGGTGTCCAGTTCCTCTTGAAGGACATTGTTACTGCTGACATTGGGCACCGAATCTTCATGAATGATGTATCGGTAAATCAGGCTGGATTGGGTGTGGTTATCCTGAGGAATTACCTGTAAAAGGACAAGATAATAAAACAACCCATCAGTATTACAAAACATGGAGTCCTTCTCTACCTTATTAGGTCTTCAGCAATTGCCTCAACCCCCAAACCCCCAATTTTTTCCATACCACATTTGTGCAGATTATTCTTCAGCAAGATTTATGGAGTTGAAAGGGACAAGGCTGTAAGAATTTCAGCGACTAACATTTTTTTTCCATTTAGAATCAATATGTCCCTTATTATCAACATACGGAGTTGTTACAGTATCTAGGAGACCACAATGCTATTGCAAAGTGGTAGTTTGGCTTGCCAAAATGCCAGCCCTGTTGTAGGACATGCTTCACACCAGAGAGTAAGATGTACAGCTCTTCCTGCCTTGTCATCCAAGACCGCTTCTCTTCTCAGAGTTGTCTCGCACAACTGGGTGCGTGTCACAACTGGGAAGGTTCAGAGCCATCAAGAATCTGACTGCCTGCACAGAGCACCAGCTCATGTCCTCTGTCAACACTGCTAACATTGGATGTTCTTGCTTTGACAACATATGGAGATGCAGCCTTTTTCTTTCTTATACTTTACTATTAGAATTAGATGATACTAGGGGAGGGGGAGGAATGTGATGGGAGTTAGTTAGACATACAAAATTGGAACAAGAGCTGATAAGGCATGGCGGGAGAAAAAACTGGGTGGAAAACCAGCATTTCAAACTAATTGGGGAACGTGATTTATGTCTGTTAGTTGTAGGAGGAAATTGTGTTTTGATCTATGTGCTGAAGGGAGGGGAAGTCAGATTTTGGCTTCAACTATGTATGTGCCGAAACTATGCTGCTCGAGTAAAGATTATTTAAGGTAAACAATGCCTCAAAGTTCTTTGAAGAGTTTCATCTGTCGGAACCATGACATCCTCACTAAGTAGTACCTATCTATCTACTTGCATAGAACATGCTATCGAACTGTTAGGTGGATAGAAGCTGAAGCAAGTGACAGGAACTCACACCGCCACACAGTGCTAGGACTCGAACCACTGGAGCTGGGGCCATCTCCAGTGAGATTAAGCCACTGAGCCACTGCATCTCTTAATGTGTCCTTTAATAGATTAGATCAAACCTGAGCTGCATCGTCTTCAAAAATTGCCATTAAGTTTTAAGGGGACAGAATTTTGAGAACAACATCAATAGAGTTGATGACTTTGTAATGAAATTTACAGCTCTTCAGAATACAAAGGTGCAGTCTGTTAATCATATGGGGGAAACAACAAACATCGCAGAACCAATACTCCAGAAGACAGGCTTAAGATACAGGAGGATCTGGACAGACTTGAACATTGGGCGCTATCTAACAAAATGAAATTCAATGGTGAAAAAAACAAAGGTTCTACATTTAGGCAAGAAAACCCAAATATACAGGTATAGTATAGGGTGTACCTTGCTCAATAGTAGTAACTGTGAGAGGGATCTCGGAGTCCTAGTGGACAATCACTCAAATATGAGCCAGCCGTGTGCTGCAGCTGCCAAAAAGGCCAACACAGTGCTAGGCTGCCTTAACAGAGGGATAAAATCAAGATCACGTGAAGTATAAATACCACTTTACAAGGCCTTGGTAAGGCCACACTTGGAATACTGCATCCAGTTTTGGTCACCACGATGTAAAAAAGATGTTGAGACTCTAGAACAAGTACAGAGAAGAGCAACAAAGATGATCAGGGGACTGGAGGCTAAAGCATATAAGGAACGGTTGCTGGAATTGGGTATGTCTAGTTTAATGATGGAGAAGGATGAGGGGGGACATGATAGCAGTATTCTAGTATCTCAGGGGCTGCCCCAAAGAAGAGGGAGTCAAGCTATTTTCCAAAGCGCCTGAAGGCAGGACAAGAAGCAACAGATGGAAACTAACCAAAGAGAGAAGCAACCTAGAACTAAGGAGAAACTTCCTGACAGTGAGAACAATTAACCAGTGGAACAACCTGCCTCCAGAAGCAGTAAACGCTCCAACACTGGAAGTTTTTAAGAAGAGACTGGACAGTCATTTGTCCGAAATGGTATAGGGTTTCCTGCTTGAGCAGGGGGTTGGACTAGATCAGCGCTTTTCAACCTTTTCACCCATTGTAACACTTTTAGGATATGGCAACATCCGAGTACCACCAGTTGCCTAGCGAGGTGTCAAAAACTTCATGACAAAAAAAAGGAAAAAAGTGATAAAGTACAGGTAGTCCTCAACTTACAACAGTTCACTTAGTGACTGTTTGAAGTTAGAATGGCACTGAAAAAAGTGCCCCCCAAGCCACAGCTGAGCAAGATACCTGCCTGCCCACCTGGTGGCGCTCTTCCTCCTGTCCGAGGTTTTCATTGTTCTGAGCATTTCTGTTGAGGATTGGCAGTGGGGGTGGGGTGGGGGGTGTTTGGTTTTTATTCCCCCCATCTGCTGGGTGGTTGCAGCAGGTTTTGGTCACTTCACATGACCCTGGGACATTGTGACCGTCATAAATATGAATCAGTTGCCAAGCATCTGAATGTAAATCAAAAGACCCTGGAGATGCTGCAACATTCTAGCTGATCGGCGCTTCTTTTGGGCTCAGCAGAAGCACCAGGATCAGGGCCAAGCTCCAGCTGTAGCCTGGCCTGATCCTGGCACTTCCACTGAGCCCTGACAGCCCCGAAGAAGCGCCGATCCTGGCTCTTCCGCTGAGCTCTGACAGCCCTGCAGCTCCAGCCGTCTCTCGCTCAGGCTTGTGCGGTGCTGCTACCGGTTCAGCTCATTCCCGTCCCCCACTACCATTTTTCTAGGATGCTCGCGTACCACCTGCCAGGTGCCAATGTACCACAGGTGGTACCCATACCACTGTTTGAAAAGCCCTGGACTAGATGACCTCCAAGGTCCCTTCCAACATCATCATCATCATCATCATCATCATCATTATTACTATTATTATTCTTACCAGGACAAGAATGGCATCGTGGAGAGGTCCATCTGTCTGGAGGGTTTCTATACCGTCTTCTATACGGTATTCCCATTCTAAGCCAAAGTCGATGAAGGAACGAGAGTGGGATCTTTCGCCTTTGCCATTTAAGATATAATGGCCAGTTGCTTGGTTCTTAATGGCTAAAAGGAACAATGGCAGTAAGCAGTCAACTCTCCATAGGCAAGATGGCAATTCTTTGTTCTTCAAAGCGAAGGCAAAATGTTTAGTCTTCGTGACAGAACCTCTTGCTAGAATGAACGTCTTTTCTTTTGGGGACCATTTAAGAACTTCTCATCCCTTCCAGACTTTTATTTATTTACTTACTTATTTCTTGCCTTTATTATTTTTACAAGGCAGCGAACATATCCAACCCGTCTTCCTCCTCTTATTTTCCCCACAATAACAACCCTGTTGTAAGTAAGTTGAGCTGAGAGCGACTGGTCCAAGTTAACCCAGGTGGCTTTCATGCCTAAGACGGAACTAGAACTCATTCTCTCCTGTTGATTGGTCCAAAGTCACCAGCCAGCTTTCATCTCTAAGGCAGGACTGGAGTGCACAGTCTCCTGGTGATTGGTCCAAAAGTCACCAGCCAGCTTTCATCCTAAGGCAGGACTGGAGTGCACAGTCTCCTGGTGATTGGTCCAATGTCACCCAGCCAGCTTTCATGCCTAAGGAGGGACTAGAATTCACAGTCTCCTGGTGATTGGTCCAATGTCACCCAGCCAGCTTTCATGCCTAAGGAGGGACTAGAATTCACAGTTTCCGGGTGATTGGTCCAATGTCACCCAGCCAGCTTTCATGCCTAAGGAGGGACTAGAATTCACATTCTCCTGGTGATTGGCCCAAAGTTACCTAGCCAACTTTCCTAGCTAAGGTAGGACTAGAACTTACAGCCTCCCACTTTCTAGCTTGGTGCATTAACCATTAGACCAGAGGTAGGCAACCTTAGCTCTTTTATGACTCGTGGACTTCAACTCCCAGAATTCCTGAGCAGCCATGCTGAGGGGAAAGGGTGAGGTTTCTAAGCCGAGCCGTGCTGGCTCAGGAATTCTGGGAGTTGAAGTCCACGAGTCATAAAAGAGCCAAGGTTGCCTACCCCTGTATTAGATCAAAGTGGCTCTCTTTTCTTTTAGTGACATATTTTTTTTAAGGGGAAGAGCTTCCCCAAAAATATCTGTTAGTGGTGGATTATAAATCTAACAAAGCAAACAGTTGAACAAGTCATCTCATCACTCAACACTGTTCCTGGTGCAGAAGAAAATATGGAAGCAAAGGTTCATAGAAGCTGGCTTAGAAGACAGAGATACCGCAGCAATTAACTGAAGTGGAAATGCTTCTGGCGAAGACAATTATACCCTAAAATATACACTAACTTCAGATGAAGTTTTGGAGACATGCCTTCAGCTATCCATGAGCAACCAGGCCCACAGCTTCTAAAACAAGAAGACTTTGGCACCAGCTCTGTTGCCACGATGGCCAAGACTACGCAGAAGAAGCACTTACCAAGAATGTGAGGGGAAGCCTCATCTTCTTGGACAGTCACATGTTGAGCACCCGCTGGGATGTCAAACATCTTAAGGTACCCTTTGGCATGTGCAGCAAGACATGGAGAGACAAGAGAAGGAGAAAGAAGGAGGAGGAGGAGGAGGTAGAGGAAAAGGAGAAAGAGAAGAAGAAAGAGAAAAAAATGGCTAGCATTAGTTACTTGCAAGTAGAGGTAAGTCCCATTGAAGAACGGGTGCATCCATAGGTCTTTGATTATTAAAAGAGAAGATAAAAAAGCCTGCAGCTTGAGGACTAGGCTGCCTTAAATTTTCCAATTCCCTATGGAGAAGGAAAAGATAAGCAAAGGTCCTGGTAATACACTTACTTTGTTATGCTCTCTGAAGACCATAACACGGAGATCGTTTAGACCAGTGTTTCTCAACTTTGACAATTTTAAGGCATGTGGACTTCAACTCCCAGAATTCCACAGCCAGCTACGTTACATTCTAATTATGTCCTGCTTGCTAGTCACCATGGTTACGCAAAGAACAAGATTAAAATAAACTATACTGTTTGCCTTATTCTAGCAGGTAACTTTTAAATTCTCTTAAATACCAAAATAGTCAGCGGGCCAACCGGTGTAAGAAGTTATCAGCCAACGAGTGAACCCTGTACAGTGAACTGACGTATTGAAATAGACTGCAGTGTTTCTCAACCTTGACAATTTTAAGGCATGTGGACTTCAACTCCCAGAATTCCACAGCCAGCATTGCTGGCTGTGGAATTCTGGGAGTTGAAGTCCACATGCCTTAAAATTGTCAAGGTTGAGAAACACTGGTTTAGACAAAGCGTTTATGTTTCCTATATTTCGTGGGGGGGGGGGAACTACACCGTGGGGATTTTCTTTCAAAAACCTATGTGTTGTTGGAAGATCAAAGCACCAGTGACACCTCCCACCCACCCCCAGCCAGGCCATGCATCAAACCACCTCTGGTCCATGGGAAATGTCAAAATAACGTTTAGATGCTGCTTGGAGTGAGATAAGAGTCAATGGAATTCAAGGAAGCTTGGTGTAGGACAGGGGTAGGCAACCTTGGCTCTTTTATGACTCGTGGACTTCAACTCCCAGAATTCCTGAGCCAGCCATGCTGAGGGGAAAGGGAGAGGTTTCCAAGCTGAGCCATGCTGGCTAGGGAATGCTGGGAGTTGAAGTCCATGAGTCATAAAAGAGCCAGGGTTGCCTACCCCTGGTGTAGGAGATGACCAGGCTGAGCCTGAGGAAAAGGTCAAATGTGTCATCAGTCATGAGTCCCTTCGCGCCCAGTTTGAATTCCTTCTGTTTTTAACTCCTGCTAATTTCCCTTGAACATTAGTAGTACAGATTCTTATAGAGGGCTTAAGCTTATTCTAAATCTTTATATACATTTGAACCGCCTGGATCTCCTGATTTCCCTGGCGCCTTACAGTTAGTTCGCATGTGGCTATGTAGAGATTCTAGGCTGGTACCTCTTTTAACTCCACTCCTGGTTCTGCCACTTCTATAATAAGTATTGCAACTTTCAGCATTCTGATTTCGTAACCATATTCCATATTAAGCTGTCAAATAAAATTACCTTCCTCTTCAAGTACCGGGCCAGCGTATTTATTTGCAACCCGGCTCAGATCCTAACCCAGGACTTTCTTCCAACAGTATGATGTCAACACTGCTAACATCGGATGTTTTGCATTGACAACAGATGGAAATGTAGCCATCATTTTCCCTTTTGCTTTTAGAGTTAGATGATGCTGGCAGGGGAGGGGATGTGAATGAGAGTCTAGCTAGACATAACAACACTAAACCCAGTGTGAGAATCAAGGTTATTGAGCCCAGAGCTGATAAAGAATTGGCGGGCTGGAGAACTGGAGAGGAAGCCTGTGCTTCAAGCTAACTGGGGAATGTGATTTATGACTGTTAATTGGAGGAGGGAATTGTGCTTTGATACTATGTGCCCAGGGGAGGGGAGGGGAATTCAGTTTTTGGCTTCGATTATGCAGTGCCGATATTATGCTACTCGAATAAAAGATTCTTTAAGGTAAACAATGCCTCAAAGTTCTTTGGAAGAGTTTCATCGGTCGGAACCATGACATATGAATCACAGAAACCCCGATGAACAATTCTAATTACAGAACCCCAAAGGTGCTTTTTCAGAAGGCAACTGGACTTTCTTCAGTTGCTTCTTCAGCTCTTGGATTGGAGAGTTTCAGCTTCTTGGATGACAAGCAAAACATCTTCAAAGAAAAACAAGAAAGTCAGGTTGCCTTGTGAAAAAAAAAACCCTTTGGGACAACCATGACTTGAATGGCAGAGAATCTCCACAGACATCTAATTATGAAACTTTCAGGAGAAATTCCCATAGAAAGCATAAAAGATTTGTCTTTTTTGCAGTTCTTGTAAGTGTCTGCCAGCAATGAGGAGGATTCAAGAGCAGCTATGGATGCCCGTCATCCTGCAATGGGACAAAACTTACCCAGGATATTTTTTGATATTTTGGTTTCAGACACAGAAACGTCACGAGCTCCTTTGGGCAAAGTAAAGGCACCTCTTGTCTTCCCTTAAACAGAACGAGTTTTGTTAATATTCAGATCACCAAAGTCTTGAATTTTCATTGACTATGTCTTGGCATGAGCTTTGTGGTTAGTCAAGTGTATTATTTACACTCCGACACTATTTTAAAGTAGTTTTGTCCACGTTGGAGCAGTTGTTTTACAAAACAGTCAATGAAAGTTAAGACTAAGGGAAAAAAATCAAATGGATACTTGCAGATTTCATTTTCCAGATATTTGAGTTCATTTTGACATCTCTTGCTTAATTGTTTCCCTGTGAGAAGAAGTTAGACTTTTTTGAGGGCTTTTCCAAACAATAAAATGCAATGCAATGAAATAAAAATAATTTAATGACAAAGGTAAAGCTTTACCAGGAATATATAGATAATGGTTACAGGTCCCCAAAGTATAATCCTCAATGCACCAAGCATGAACAAAAAAAAATTGTTCCATTAAAATTGTGTCTGTTTAGCTTGATCTGTGGCTAATTTTACTATCGTGAATTCAGATAAACATGAAAACTTCACAAACTTCACAAAATTTGCCTCTACTTTTCATGATCAATTGGAAATCTCAGTTCAAACTCAATTTTTGATTTTTCCCATTGTTCTATCTTAAATGCTTAAATTGATTAAGCATAATACAGGCTAAAAGTATTGATTGCCAGTGTAGCATAGTAGTTAAGATAATTGACTGACATGAGGGAGGTCTAAATTCTACATTGGGGATTTTCAAACTTGGCAACTTTAAGATGTGTGGACTTTAAATCCCTGAATTCTCCAGCCAGAGTTGAAGTTTATGCATCTTAATATTTGAAAAACACTGATTGGATAACTTAGTTGGATCATAATGTATACTTTCTTGAGTGGGGCTGGAAACCTATGAAGCAAATGCACAACATGAATGGTGGATCCATGTTGTCCACCCAGACTGCAATATAGACCCACAGTCTCACTATCTCTTTCCTCCCAAAAAATTCCAGAAATTACATTAATATTATAGCTTAAATTCAGCAACAAATCAAGTCTAACTGATCATCATCTTTCCAGTCCTGGTGTCAGCAGAAAATCCATAAAAGGTAGCCAAAAGTAACAACAGATCTTATTTTAACCTTGATCAAGTAAACCAATTTTATATTCCTTTATTTTACTTCTAACAGCCTTAAAACCTATGCACAGGATTCTTCCCAACTAATAGTCAACACCTGTTTGGAGTTAGATAAGGATCAATGGAATTCAAGGGCAGTTGGACTTAGCTGCTTGTGGCGATGTAGGAATTCTGGGATGATCCCTCTTTCAACTCCACCCCCCTCCCCAGATTCTTCTACTCCTTCTTCTACAACAGTGATGGCGAACCTTTTAGAGACCGAGTGCCCAAACTGCAACCCAAAACCCACTTATTTATCGCTGGGTGCCAGGTGGGCATGGCAGACTGGGTGGGTGTGGCCAAGGTAGGCGTGGTCACCTTGATGTTGCTTGTGGGGGCTGGACAGGTGGGTTGGGTGAGATCCAGGGAGTCTCTGGCAGGTGGGGCAGTGGGCAGGAGGTTTGTCCTGCAGGGTGAGGCGAGGCAGGGCGGGGGTCCCATTGTCGCAGGGCAAGGCGGGGCAGGGGCCGGGTGGGCTGCTGCGTGACACCATCGGTCCCCGCACACAGAGGCCAGTGGGTGCATGGGGGTCGACAGTGTCCATCAGGAGCCACAGCCTGCCGACCCCTCAACTGGCGCACTCTGGGGCTCCGCAGCCCGCCATCAGCAGTTCAGAGAAGCCTCCTCTGAGCTGGACGGATAGCCGACAGCTGAGCAGGCGATGCAGTGGGTCATGCCCAGGGAAAGGAGAGCATGCGAAGGGAGGAGGAATGGGATGGACGGGAGGGAAACCAGCCATGCTGGGATGCATCCGGCCACGTGGGACCTCGTCGAGTTAGCGGGTGGCTGGTTGAAGAGGGACGGTTGCCATCTCCGGGGCATGGTGCACGTGCCCACAGAGAGGGCTCTGAGTGCCGCCTCTGGCACATGTGCCGTAGGTTCGCCACCACTGCCCTACAACATCCTACATCAAACTTCTTAACTTTTGCTTTCGCCCTTTCTAATCATTCAAATACAACTTAGAAACTAATAATAAAGAAGAAGCTAGGGAGATGGGGTTATCCTTACCAGATTTCTTAGGGATTCTAGTGAAGGTCCCTTTCACTGTCCGGCAATGTGAGTTGTCTCCTCCACACACTCCACACTTGTCTTCAGCTTTGTTGGACCCAATCTCTTTGTCGCAACCAACTTTCTGCCAAGAGAAGCAGATCAGCAGAACTGAGGAAAGCAGCAAGGTGGAGTCAAAAATGTACCAGTTCCTAATGCAATTCATTATCTTAGCCCAGTGTTTCCCAAACTTGACAATTTTAAGGCATGTGGACTTCAACTCCCAGAATTCCACAGCCAGCGTTGCTGGCTGTGGAATTCTGGGAGTTGAAGTCCTCATGCCTTAAAATTGTCAAGTTTGGGAAACATGGTCTTAGCCTAAAACCTAGGTCAGTGGTGGCGAACCTATGGCATGCGTGCCAGAGGTGGCACTCAGAGCCCTCTCTATGGGCATGTGTGCCGTTGCCCCAGCCCCACCTCCCTTCACGGCCCCCTCCCCACCAGCAGCCCCTCTGGAGAGCCGCCCCTGGGTGCGGCCCATATGGAGCGGCACAGCCAAGGATATGGCAGCCGGGCATCAGGGACAAGACTCTGCCCTTGCACCCCGTCGCACGCAGATGACGCTGCGGGGTGCCATGACACTGCAGGGCTGCCTGGGTGAACTGCTGCGGTGGGCCGTGGAGGCAGTAAGAGGCCCTGCGGGCAGGTGGGTGGCGGAGCGGGGGTGGGTGGGTGGCGGGGCAGGCAGCAGTGCATGGTAGGCAGGGGGCATGGTGGTTTTTGGGCACTCGGTGTCTAAAAGGTTCTCCATCACTGACCTAGGTCAAGAAGATGCATAGCATCTGTTGCCAAGATTCATCTTACCATTTTTCGCCTCTAGAGGTTAGGGGTGTTCCACTACTGTCCGTTTTTTCAACTTCCAACGGTCACTAGATGAACGATTGTAAGCCAAGGACTTACTTTACTTCTGTCGTGACCATTGTAGCTTTTGGTAAAGGAGCCCTTTGCCCTTATTTTTTTCTAAAAAGTCCACGCTAAGTGAATATTTTCTATACACATCTTAAAGAGTTTTTGTGAGGTTTCCTGGATCAAGCTGGAACAACCAATGTTTATAGACTGAGGATAGCAATAGCAATAGAAATAGCACTTAGACTTATATACCGCTTCATAGTGCTTTTACAGCCTTCTCTAAGCGGTTTACAGAGTCAGCCTATTGCCCCCAACAATCTGGGTCTTCATATTACCAACCTCAGAAGGATGGAAGGCTGAGTCAACCTTGAGCCAGTCAGGATCGAACTGCTGGCAGTGGGCAGAATTAGCCTGCAATACTGCATTCTAACCACTGCACCACCATAGTTCCTTCCTTCCTTCCTTCCTTCCTTCCTTCCTTCCTTCCTTCCTTCCTTCCTTCCTTCCTTCCTTCCTTTACAAAAGCACTTAGACCAGTGGTTCTCAACCTTTCTAATGCCGTGACCCCATAATACATTTCCCCATGTTGTGGTGACCCCCAAGTGGGTGTGGCCACCAATAAGAGGGAGTAGGACAGCTAGGGAAAAGGGAAAAAAATGGTGGACAGCATGGTTTGGCGACCCCCATGAAATGGTCGTTTGACCCCAAATGGGGTCCCAACCCACAGGTTGAGAACCACTGACTTAGACTTTTATACTGCTTCATAGTGCTTTACAGCCCTCCCTAAGCTGTTTACAGAGTCAGCCTATTGTCCCCAGCAATCTGGGTCCTCATTTTACCAACCTTGGAAGGATGGAAGGCTGAGTCAACCTTGAGCCGGTGAGAATCGAACTGCTGACAGTGGGCAGAGTCAGCCTGCAATACTGTATTCTAACCACTGCTCCACCACGGTTTTTGGTGATCACTTACCACACATTCTCCACGGACGCATATACTGAAGGGGTCCTTGTAAGAACAGCGAGTCCCGTCGTGGGTCAGCTGTTTCATATAAGCAATGTCACCGGTCTCTTTGGACTGGCAGTAAAGTTGGCATCTCTTGTTGGCTGTGGAGAGCAGAAAAACAATATTGCTTTTAGTCTGGGAACATTTCACAATTGTACCACGAGACGCGGTGTTGTCTCTCAGTTTGGCTGATGTCAACTCTTCAGAGTAGTCCAGACAGGAAACGGAAACCATGAATACTAAGACTAACCTTTCTTGTGAAGTTACAGTATCAGAGTTTTGCAAGTCTGAAAACATTTCCCCCACTTTTACTTCACAGAGAACTAGGGTGGGTCTCTTCTGTTTGCTCCATCCCCGTCGCTTCTATACAGGTAGCCCTTGATTCATGACTGTAATTGAGCCTTCTGGTTGCAAGTGGTGATGCTCATTCAGCAAGGTGACTGTGTGATCTACCTTGTTTAATGGCCTCCACTTCTACTCTCTCCCTTGCAGTCATCTGAAATTGCTTGTGTCATCAAGCAGACACAATCTTCCTTCCTTCCTTCCTTCCTTTCTTCCTTCCTTCCTTCCTTTCTTCCTTCTTTCCTGTCTTTTCCTTCCTTCCTTCCTTCCTTCCTTCCTTCCTTCCTTTCTTCCTTCTTTCCTGTCTTTTCCTTCCTTCCTTCCTTCCTTCCTTCCTTCCTTCCTTCCTTCCTTCTTTCCTTCCTTCCTTTCTTCCTTCCTGTCTTTTCCTTCCTTCCTTCCTTCCTGTCTTTTCCTTCCTTCCTTCCTTTCCTTCTTCCTTCCTTTCTTCCTTCCTGTCTTTTCCTTCCTTCCTTCCTTCCTTCCTTCCTTCCTTCCTTCCTTCCTTCCTGTCTTTTCCTTCCTTCCTTCCTTCCTTCCTTCCTTCCTTCTTTCCTGTCTTTTCCTTCCTTCCTTTCTTCCTTCTTTCCTTCCTTCCTACCTTCCTTCCTGTCTTTTCCTTCCTTCCTTCCTTCCTTCCTTCCTTCTTCCTTCTTTCTGTCTTTTCCTTCCTTCCTTCCTTCCTTCCTTCCTTCCTTCTTTCCTTCTTTCCTTCCTTCCTTTCCTTCTTTCCTTCCTTCCTTCTTCCCTTCCTTCCTTCCTTCCTTCCTTCCTTCCTTCCTTCCTTCCTTCCTGTCTTCCTTCCTTCCTTCCTTCCTTTTTCCTTCCTTCCTTCCTTCCTTCCTTCCTTCCTTCCTTCCTTCCTTCCTTTCTTCCTTCTTTCCTGTCTTTTCCTTCCTTCCTTCCTTCCTTCCTTCCTTCCTTTCTTTCTTTCTTTCTTTCTTTCTTTCCTCTTTCTTTTTTTCTTTCTTTCTTTTAATGTTTTATTGATTTTTCTAATTTTACATTTAAGTATTTAAAAAGCAACGTGACTTTTGAGTTAATCAAAAATTCAATGACATAAAAACATCTTTAGTGCAAGTCTCAAACTACCACATCAAATATTTCCTCTCTTTTCCCCTTAGTATTTACTGTCTCACGTTTAAACTAATACAATTCTTATTATATCAATTAAATAAAAATAGCATTCTCACATTTATCAATAATTTTTAGCTGATACATATCCTGGTTATTTTAACATTCAGTCTTTATAGACAATCAATGTCCTAATTAGTTTTTCCCAATTTTTAGTTTCCCATTGTCTTTCTTTCTCCATTTAAAAAAAAAATGGAGGCTGCATTGTATTTGTAGACCAAGAGCTAAACTGAAGTTTTATTTATAGCTGAACTAAAAGAAGTTAGAATTCATTCATTTTCCATGCATTTTTCTTTCTTTCTATATTTTATTTTATTGCACCTCTACATGTCCTTTCTCCTTAAGTTCTGATTCCTTCTCCATTCTCTCTCCTGACTAAACTAAACCACGAACTTTCAACCAACAGCCAAATTTATTCAACCAAAGTTGAATAAATGACATATTGAACTCAGCTGAGTTAATCTTTATTACAAATATTAAGGATTGTTTTTTTTTTTTATTGAAAATTTTTAGGATTTTACAAAAACAAAACAACCCTTGCCCAGACCTCCCCGACCCTCCCATTCCCTCCCCCGACCTTCCCAGAGCTGAATATAGGCTTAATTAAAATTTTCTTCAAAAAATCTTAAAAAAGATATAAACCGTAAATAAATCCAAATACATTACTTAAACAAATTATAAGATAATTAACAATAATGTATGTATAAAAAACATAAATATTAGAAAAAAAATGCTTAAAAAGAAAAAGAATAAAGAAAAGGAAAAAAGAAAAAAGATATAAGAAAATAAAGTAAAAATAAAAAATAAAAGAAAAAAAGAATAAAGTCTATAAAATATTAAATTTTAAATATAAGTTATTGAAAAACTAAATAATATTTTTTTATATCCAACTTATATTGTATAAAATCTATCCATTTTTTCCATACCGCAAAATACTTCTCTTGCAATTGATCCTTCAAGAAAGCCGAAATCTTTGCCATTTCCGCCAAATAAGAAACTTTAAAAAATCACTCTTGCAAAGTAGGCAAAGATTCCTTCTTCCAACATTGCCCTACTAACAACCTTGCGGCTGTAATTAAATTTAACATCAATGTAGTCTCTTTGGTATCACAATCAGTAACAATACTTAACAAGAACAATTGTGGGGTAAATGTTACCCTCCTTCTAAAAATTCTTTGAATATTCCACCATATCTTAATCCAAAAAGCTTTTATATTTTTACACGACCACCAGATATGATAGTAAGTAGCGTCCAAACATCCACATCTCCAACATTTAGGCTGTAAGAAATATTAAGGATTGTTTTGTAAAGTTGTTTTCACCTGTTGCTGGCCACTGCAAAAATCTGCTGATGGTTACCACTCATGAAATAATTCAGTATAGAACTAGTGTTGAACTAGTGGTTGGGAAGAAGTCAATAATATGGTCAGTAACTAGGCAACATTCTGTTCCTTCTTTGTGACATTTAAACCATTTCTCAGCAGAAGCAGAGACAAATCGCCGCTTACCATCTGGATGCTCATATGGAAGCCAATGGTGTTTGCTGTTTTGATATTCGAAGTGGGAGTTGCGTTGCTGACACTGCTGAGCTCGGAAATCTTCATAAAGCTTTGGACATTCATCCAGGTTGCACAGCTGATATTCAAAGTTGATACCAGTGCAGTCTTGACCCCCATTAAGAGGCCTGGGAGGGGAAAAAAATTAGGAACAAAATCAGATTAATCAGGATTTAACTCTGCTCGCTCTACCACATCAGAACACAAATGCTATTTTTGTGGTGGGTGGGATTCCTATCAGTCTGAGCTGGCAAGAGCAAATGGAGCTTAACAACATTTCAAGGGTATTGGTTTGGAATTTAAGAATATAATACTTCAGCATCAACTTCTTCCCATTTAGCTATTTATATTTATTTACTCACTGGAGAAGGGCCTAATGCTGGGAAAGATGGAGGGCAATAGAAGAAGGGGACGACAGAGAATGAAGTGGCTGGATGGAGTCACTGAAGCGGTAGGCGTGAGCTTAAATGGACTCCAGAAGAGGGTAGAGGACAGGAAGGCCTGGAGGAACGTTGTCCATGGGGTCGCGATGGGTCGGACACGACTTCGCAATTAACAACAACAACAACAAATTTATTTACTGATATCCTGCCTTTGCCATTTTTACAAATAACTCAAGGCAGCGAACATTTTCAAGGTTTTTCCTCCTCTTATTTTTCCTACAACAATCACCCTGTGGGGTGGGTTGGATTGAGGGAAAACGACTGGCCCAAAGTCACCCAACTGGGTCTCATGCCTGAGGCAGGACTAGAACTCAGGGTCTCCTGGGTTCAAAATCACCCAGCCGGTTCTCATGGCTAAGGTGGGATTAGAACTTACGGTCTCCTTGGGTGATTGGCCCAAAGTCACCCAGCTGGCTTTCATGCATAAGGCAGGATTAGAATTCATGGTCTCCTCGTGATTGGTTCAAAATTACCAAGTTGGCTTTCATGGCTAAGTCAGGACTATAACTCACACCCTCCTGGTGATTGGTCCAGTGTCACCCAGCTGGCTTTCATCGCTAAGGAGGGACTTGAACTCACAGTCTCCCTCTTTCTAGCCTAGTGCTTAACCACTGGACCAAACTGCCTGGTTTGGACTGGTTTTCCACCTTGATGTCTACCATGGCTATAGAAAGGATAATAATTCAGTGGCCGTCAACCCCAGTAAGTAGACAAGGCCAAGACATAAACTCCATAGTAAGGCTATAACTACTTATATTGAGACTGGCTATAGGGGTAGGCAACCTTGGCTCTTTTATGACTTGTGGACTTCAACTCCCAGAATTCCTGAGCCAGCATGGCTCAGCTTGGAAACCTCTCCCTTTCCCCTCAGCGTGGCTGGCTTAGGAATTCTGGGAGCTGAAGTCCACCAGTCATAAAAGAGCCAAGGTTGCCTACCTCTGGCCTAGGCCTAGGCTGCTTTATGACTCGTGGACTTCAACTCCCAGAATTCCTCAGCTAGCATGGCTCAGCTTGGAAACCTCTCCCTTTCCCCTCAGCATGGCTGGCTTAGGAATTCTGGGAGTTGAAGTCCACCAGTCATAAAATAGCCAAGGTTGCCTACCTCTGGCCTAGGCCTAGGCTGCTTTATGACTCGTGGACTTCAACTCCCAGAATTCTTGAGCCAGCATGGCTCAGCTTGGAAACCTCTCCCTTTCCCCTCAGCATGGCTGGCTTAGGAATTCTGGGAGTTGAAGTCCACGAGTCATCAAAGAGCCAAGGTTGCCTATCCCTGGGCTATAATAACAGAACCTTGCAAGTCTAATTATATGGATCCCCTCCTCTTTCTTTTTATATTCCACTGAATCTAAGTGAACCAAACTCTTCCTACGGGTATTCATTTTCCACAGGTGGAGACCAAATTCACCTGTGCAATTGGTAACGCTTAATCTCGGGAGATACTTCCATGCACAGGGTGGATATTATTTTTCACTGCTGCTTCATGAACTCAGATACTTTTTTTGGGTCAGGATAAGTCATACCTATGGACACGCTCAAGGTTTTCAGTTTTTCTGGTCTGGGGAAGGAATGGGCGTTTTCTTCACAAAAGCCTATTTTAGAGCTTACATTAAACTTATACAGATATGGGTCCAACCTACAAAATAGGAAATACGTGTAATTCTGGGGCCATACATTGGCCATTCCTGCTGTAAGTCTCTCCTCCCCCATATATACTCTCTATATATTCATTCATATTTATCTATCTATCTGTCTCTCTGTCTGTCTGTCTATCTATCTCTATCATCTATCTAGATCTATTTATCTCTCATCTATCAGTCTGTCTCTATCTATCTATCTATCTATCTATCTATCTATCTATCTATCTATCTATCTATCTATCTATCTATCTATCCATCCTATCTCTGTCCGTCCATCTCTATCTATCTATCTATCTATCTATCTATCTATCTATCTATCTATCTATCCTATCTGTCTATCCGTCCATCTGTCTCTATCTATCTAGCTAGCTAGCTAGCTATCATCTATCTACATCTATTTATCAATCATCTATGTCTGTCTGTCTGTCTGTCTGCCTGCCTGCCTGCCTGCCTATCTATCTATCTATCTATCTATCTATCTATCTATCTATCTATCTATCTATCTATCTATCTATCCTATCTGTCTGTCCGTCCATCTGTCTCTATCTATCTAGCTAGCTAGCTAGCTATCATCTATCTACATCTATTTATCAATTATCTATGTCTGCCTGCCTGCCTGCCTGCCTGCCTGCCTATCTATCTATCTATCTATCTATCTATCTATCTATCTATCTATCTATCTATCTATATCTGTCTATCTGTCTGTCTGTCTATCTGTCTTCTATCTTCTGTCTTCTGTTTTCTATCTTCTGTGATGGATGGATGGCTGGCTGGATGGATGGGGCAATGGGTCAGCAGTTAAGAAGCTGCGCTTATCTTGTCAGCTGGAAAGCTGACAGCCCTGGCTTGAGACCCGAGTACTGTGTGATGGGGTGAGCTCCCGTTCCTTGCTCCAGCTCCTGTCATCTAGCAGTTCGAAAGCAGGCAAATGCAAGTAGATAAATAGGTACCACTTTGGTGGGAAGGTAACAGCATTCTGCATATAGTCATGCTGGCCACATGACTACAGAAACATCTTTGGAGAAAGCTGGCTCCCTTGGCTAAGAAATGGAGATGGGCACCGTCCTCTAGAGTCAGATATGACTGGACAGGGGAATCCTTCATAGATATAGGTGAATTAAATGGAAGTTTATATGCAATTTTTTTTTTAAAAAAAATCTGTAACTGCAAAAATGGCAGCAAATGCTGCAGCAATTTACAAGGGATTGTTGCACTGTCGTGTTCTGAAGCGAACGCCGGTTCCACAGGTCCTGGAGCAGGAGCCAAATTTTGTCCAAGCTCCCCAGCTGCCATCTTGTTTCAGCTGGTTTGTATCCTTCCACATGCAGTGACCTTTATAGCACCACTGAGAGGAGAAAGGAGAACAGACATTCCGTTAGTAAAGAGAAATAAAACCTTTAGGGAGGTCTCGCTTCGTAATTTACGCCTTCCCAGGGAGGCAACGACAGAGAAAATCATTCCCTGGTTTCTACCTTGGAAAAACTGAGATTCGGTTTGCTGTGCCTGGAACATGTGGCAAGGGATCTCCATTGAAAAATTAGAAGCCTTCGATTTATAACTGCTCACTTGTTGATCATTTGAACTCACAATGGATCTCCTGCAGGGTAATTATGAGCCAGATTCCGAGTCCCAATGGCTGAACCGTCTTCCATAAGATGACATTTTTGGAAAAGCCATCCAACAACCTGAAGGAGTTTTAGGTGAGATGTGGGGAAGAGAGGCAACTGTCTGCTCTCTGCATAAAGGGTCTGTCAAGCTCCATCACTTAATGCTGTCAAAATATTGGGGAAGGAGGAACCTTTCAAGGGACTTTAACCAAACCATTTGAGGACCACCTGAGCCTGGGAGTAGAACATAGTCTTAGTGTTGCAAAAGAGAGATAGAAAACTGGAGGAGGGGAGAACTTGAAATAGGACATTTGTTGCTAAAGGAAGGCACCAAAGAGCAACAATCGACATTGCTTGGGTCTTCTCTGTCATTATAATTGAGGTTCACCAGTCATTATTTATTTGTTTTATATCTGGCCTTTATTATTTTTATATCTCCTGATGATTGGGCCAACCCAGCTGGCTTTCATGGCTAAGGTGGGACTAGAACTCACTGTCTCCTGGTGATTGGCCCAATATCCAGCTGGCTTTCATACCTAAGGCGGGACTAGAACTCACCAACTCCTGGTGATTAGCCCAAAGTCACCCAGCTGGCTTTCATGGCTAAGACAGGATTAGAACTCACAATCACCTGGTAAGCAGGTTCAAAATCACCCAGCTGGCTTTCATGCCTAAGGGGGGACTAGAACTCACCATCTCCTGGTGATTGGCCCAAAGTCACCCAGCTGGCTTTCATGCTTATGGCAGGACTAGAACTCATCATCCCCTAATGATTGGCCCAGAGTAGCCCAGCTGCCTTTCATGCCTAAGACTGGACTAGAACTCACCATCTCCCAGTTTCCCCTTGAAATACATGCATCGTTTCAACCTGAAACACATCTTCACTTACTTTACTAGGGGCACATTCTGTCCCGTCAAGCGGCGGGCCCTTCTTAGTCTTGCAGAAATAAGGGTTGTCAGGATGACTGCACCACAACTGTTTACACGGGTCAAATGTTCGAAACTGAAACAGTAGAGAAACCAGAGATGAGATAAAGCAGGAGTAAGCAAGCTTGGCTCTTTTATGACTGGTGGACTTCAACTCCCAGAATTCCTGAGCCAGCCATGCTGAGGGGAAAGGGAGAGGTTTCCAAGCTGAGCCATGGAATTCTGGGAGTTGAAGTCCACGAGTCATAAAAGAGCCAAGGTTACATATCTCTGGCCTAGGCCTAGGCCGCTTTATGACTCGTGGACTTCAACTCCCAGAATTCCTGAGCCAGCATGGGTCAGCGTGGAAACCTCTCTGTTTCCCCTCAGCATGGCTGGCTCAGGAATTCTGGGAGTTGAAGTCCACCAGTCATAAAAGAGCCAAGGTTGCCTACCACTAGCCTAGGCCTAGGCTGCTTTCTGACTCATGGACTTCAACTCCCAGAATTCCTGAGCCAGCGTGGCTCAGCTTGGAAACCTCTCCCTTTCCTCTCAGCATAGCTGGCTCAGGAATTCTGGGAGTTGAAGTCCACGAGTCATAAAAGAGCCAAGGTTGTCTATCCCTGAGATAGTGTATAAAGATAGTCCTTGGCTTATGACAGATCGCTTATTGATCATTCAGAGTTTTTACAGAGCCCCCCCCCCTCCCCAAGTTACTAATGACCTAGTTCCAAAGCTTTGACAGCCACCAACCTCTGCGGCCACATGATCAATTTTGGGTGCTTACACTTTAGCCTGCATTTATGGCCATTTGCAATATCCTGCAGTCACGTGACCATGATTTACAATATGGCTACTGAAATCCAGCTTCCACTTCTGGGTTTTTGGTTTTTTTTTTTTTTTTTGGCCCAAAGGCCCCACAATGAAAAGTGGGCTTGCTTAACGATCACATTGTTCACGTAATGACCACTGTACAAATCAGAACAGTCGTGTGATGATTCACTTACCAACCCTTAATGGGCAGGCATTGTTTTAGCTGTAAGTCGAGTACTGCCTATACAGCAAACAATGGGAAATTCTCCCTGAACTGAGGTGGGTTTGTGGGAAGAAGTTGGCGATTGTCAATGATCTGGATGTGGTCAAACTGAAAGTGGTCATAAATCTCAGGCCCTCCTCTTTTCTCCCAAAATTGCATCTTCTACACTGAAACTATGAGTAAAGAAAGGAAGATACATAATAATAATAATAAAGTTGGAAGGGACCTTGGGGGTCATCTAGTCCAACCCCCTGCTCAGGCAAGAAACCCTATATCATTTCAGAAAAATGGCCGTCCAGTCTCTTCTTAAAAACCTCCAGTGTTGGAGCATTCACCGTTTCTGGAGGCAGGTTGTTCCACTGGTTAATTGCTCTAACTGTCAGGAAGTTTCTCCTTAGTTCTAGGTTGCTTCTCTCCTTGATTAGTTTCCATCCATTGCTTCTTGTCCTGCCTTCAGACACTTTGGAAAATAGCTTGACTCCCTCTTCTTTGTGGCAGCCCCTGAAATATTGGAATGTTGCTATCATGTCCCCCCTCTTCCTTCTCTTCATTAGACTAGACATACCCAATTCCAGCAACCGTTCTTCATATGTTTTAGCCTCCAGTCCTCTAATCATCTTTGTTGCTCTTCTCTGCATTCTTTCTAGAGTCTCAACATCTTTTTTACATCGTGGTGACCAAAACTGGATGCAGGATTCCAAGTGTGGCCTTACCAAGGCATTGTAAAGTGGTATTAACACTTCATCTGATCTTGATTCTATCCTTCTGTTTATGCAGCCTAGCACTGTGTTGGCTTTTTTGGCAGTTGCAGCACACGTCTGGCTCCTATTTAAGTGATTGTCCACTAGGACTCCGAGGTCCCTCTCACAGTTGCTACTGTTGAGCAAGGAACCACCTATACCATACCTGTGCATTTGGTTTTTCTAAATCATGTCACAATCAACTCAGATTTGGGCTGATGTATCTTGATACTGAAACTATAATTCAGCTTTACTTGATAGGAATCGAGGAAGACCTACCGCCGTGCACATTTTGTAGCCCACTCCAAAGTCAAAGCGACATTGCTCGTCCATGGAATAATTTACCCCAGGCAGCTCAGGAAGTTTCGGCCAATTATGTTCAAAAGGGTCATCGAGGAGACAATCGTAAGAACTGCGAGAGAAAACCAATAGGAGACAAAATGGTCAGCTATGAATTACTAGAAGCCAACATGGTTTATCAAAAGCAGATCATGTCAGACCAACTTTATTGCGCCAACAAAGGAGGATATTTGTAGCTGGGGTTGAAATGAGGAGTCCTTGGTGCTCTCTGATCTTGGTTGTTTCCTTGCAGATGTTTCATTACCAAAACTAGGTAACATCTTTAAGCTCTTGGCAACATCTGGGGATGTTACCTAAGTCCTAATCTCACTGAGGATGCTGCTTCAGCATCTAATTATTCTGAAAACCAATTCATCTTTTTTTTAAACTAAGATTTGGCAGCAAACTACCTGCAGAATCCCCATGTAGTGACTCCAAAGCCCCAAATGATGATGATGATGACAAATTTTGATCATTTCTGACACAGGGATGCTGAATTCTTACGAAATATTGTCAGGAGGCCATTAAAACACAGGTTGGTGTTTTCACAGAAACTCAGTTGCATCTCAAAGCAGGGAGATTTGGGGCATAGTCTTAGAAAAGAAAACAAATGGGTGTGCACAGGCTTCTTGGTTTCAGGATGCTTTCTGCCCTGTGTCCCTCCTGGAGCCAAGAAGGCTCCACACCCATTTGCACCACTCAGGTGACCCTGAGGACACAGATAAACCTCCAAGTGGCCTCAATGACTCTCTTAAAAGAATGCAAATGACCAGTGGTCTGCAAGAAGTATAAATCCTTCCGTTCTCCATCATCCAGTTAGAGCTGAAGAAGCTTCTTGGATGAGAAGCAAAACATCTTCAAAGAAAAACAAGGAAGTCCAGTTGCCTCATGAAAAAGCACCTTTGGGACAACCATGACCTGGATGACTGAGAATCCTCATAGATATATAATCTATCTATCTATCTATCTATCTATCTATCTATCTATCTATCTATCTATCTATCTATCTATCTATCTAATATCTGTATCTGTATCTAGATCTAGATAGATCTAGATATATAGATATGGATAGATCTATCTCTCCATCCATCTATCTATCTATCTATCTATCTATCTATCTATCTATCTATCTATCTATCTATCTATCTATCTATCTATCTATCTATCCACTGCTTTTTTTTTGCCTACCTTACAAGGTTCCATCCAAAAAAGGTGCCAGAACTCCGTTCTGGGCATTCTATGAGAAAAAAAGCCCTGTATCTATCTATCTCTATCTCTCTATCTATCTATCTGTCTGTCTATCTATCTATCTATCTATCTATCTATCTATCTATCTATCTATCTATCTATCTATCTATCTATCTATCTCTATCTCTGTCTAGATATAGATATATAGATATAGATACATATATATACATATATATGTATCTATATGTATATGTATATACATATACATATACATAGATACATATACATAATATTCTATATTCTATATTATTCTTAATGGAGTGAGGGGGAAACTTTTTGCTTCTTGCCTTTCCTTTTTCTTAACTGTATTAAGCTATTTTAAGGCTTGTATTGCAGTTGATTTTCTGTTTCCTGCCACAGAACAGTGGCAGACCACAATACCAATTTTTGGCAACTCTGCTGCTGACTTTTGGCAGCTAGGCCATTGAAATCTGGCAAATTGTTCCGAAGAGGCTCCGGGAGCTTCACCAAAGGATATGTAAGGCCATGCTAACCACAGGCTGCTCATCTCTTGTCTAAAATGAGCATCACTCGGAAGCATGTGCCCAGCCCCACACTGTGTGCCAGCCAAACAGTGCAACAATAGTCTTATTGCCACTACAGTACCGATAGTTCCTTACTATGAGTCTTCCCGATTCACACCAGGACTTGGTGAGTCATGGAAAGAATCAACACTACAAGCAGGGAAGGAATGGGAAAACAGTGTTACTCTCAATGGTTCTGCCTCTGGTGACCATCATTTGTCTTGATCGGATGACACATTCTTCCAGTTCAAATTTACACCTTGGCCGGACGTTGGTCAGTTAATAATGTTCCTAGCTTGGTCTAGATATATTCTAATTGCCAGTAGAGGCATGTAGAGTGCAGAGAAGACCAAGAAAGATGAGAAGGGGTCTGGAGGATCAATCATAACAGGATAGCAGAGTTGGAAGGGACCTTGGAGGTCTTATAGTCCAACCCCCTGCTTAAGCAGCAGATCCTATACCGTTTCAGACAAATGGTTGTCCAATCTCTCCTTAAAAATCTCTAGTATTGGAGCACCTACAACTTCTGGAGGCAAGTCGTTCCACTGATGAATCGTTCTATCAGGGAATTTCTTAGTTCTAGGTTGGTTCTTTCCTTGATTAGAATAGAATAGAGCTGGAAGGGACATTGGCGGTCTTCTACTCCAGCCCCCTACTCAAGTAGGAGAACCCTTACCATCTCAGAAAAGTGACTGTCCAGTCTCTACTTAAAAGCCTCCAGTGATGCAGCACCCATGATTTCTGGTGGCAAGCTGTCCCACTGGTTGATTGTCCTCACTGTCAGGAAGTTTCTCCTTAATTCCAGGTTGCTTCTCTCTTTGATCAGTCTCCAACCATTGTTTCTCGTCCTGCCCTCTGGTACTCTGGTGAACAATGTGACCCCTTCTTCCTTGTGACAGCCCCTCAGAGACTGGAAGACTGCTATCATGTCTTCCCTGTTTCTTCTTTTCTTTAGACTAGTCAAATGCACATCTTGCAGCTGTTCTTCATATGTTTTAGTCTCCAGGCCTTGGATCATCTTAGTTCAGTGATGGCGAACCTTTTAGAGACTGAGTACCCAAACTGCAACCCAAAACCCACTTATGCATCGTCGAGTGCTGGGTGGGTGCGGCCCATTGGGTGGGTGTGGCCTATTGGATGGGTGTGGCCCATTGGGTGGGCGTGGCTGGAGTGGTAACAGCAGACTGGGTGGGACTAAAAAGTTCAATCAATCAATTCCAACTTTGCAAGATCTTTTTTTTTCCCTGCGAGAAGTTGAAATTGACTGATTGATTGAACCTTTTTTTTTTTTTTTTGCACATGGCGGTGGAGGCCTAAAGTGAAAAGGTTTTATAAAACCCAGCTGAAGGCCTAGGACTGGGGCGACGGCGCACGTGCCCACAGAGAGGGCTCTGAGTGCCGCCTCTGGCATCCGTGCCATAGGTTCGTCACCACTGTCTTAGTTGCTCTGCTCTGAACTTTTTCCAAGGTCTCAACATCTTTTTTGTAGTATGCTGACCAAAACTGGTTGCAGTACTCCAGGTGTGGCCTCACTAGGGTTTTATAAAGCGGTACTAATCCTTCACGTGATCTTGATTCTATGCCTCTGTTTATACAACCCAGGATTGCATTAGCTTTTTTGGCTGCAGCCAGGATTAGTTTCCATCCATTGTTTATTGTCCTGCCTTTGTTGCGATAGCCATTCATATGATGCAATCTCCCTCATTAGAGGGAGATCCAATCTAGAAATAAGGAGGAATTTCCTGACCGTGAGAACCATTAGTCAATGAAAGAATTTGTCTCCCGGAATTGTGATGTTGACCCGGAATTAAGGGACAGCATAGGAAGTATGAATGGTGAATATGTGCAGATGGCCCTCCTGTCTTTGGGCACTTGCAGAATCATGGATGCAGGGTCATGAAAGGACAACAAGGAAAATATCCCATGTCCCAGCGCACCCGGGAACATACGGTGTCTTTAGGGAAACACCCAAAAGGAAACATTTTTTAGCTACTTCTGCTTTCTCCCTTCTTATCTACAGTGTGCCAGACTTACTGGGCGAAGTCTTTATCTTATGTGTGTCAGCTTTGCTGGGTGGATTGCTTATGTAATCAGAAAGTATAAAAATAGGGATTTGCTGTCATTCGGGTCTTCTCCCTTTTAGAGGAGCCCGTCTTTGTTCAGCTGAATAAAAACGTAAAGCTTAAAGGCAACTTCTGGTTTCCTGTGTTTCTTTATCAAGCAACACCTCAGCTCCTGCACAACGATGGGTGCTCCAATCTTTCAAGAAAAGATTTGTCCAGGATGGTATAAAGACTCCTGCGTTGGGCAAGGGGGTTAGATTACAAGACCTCCAGCTCTCTGATTCTATGATATAGTATCTGTTATCAAGAAATTGGTCCTTACTGTATGTATCTTTTGAGTTCTTGGCCACTGCAACGGGACCAGTGGTATCGGTGGAAAGCTGCTTGCACCAATGGTGCCATGACGCTTCCCATTGCTGTCTCATCTCCACATCGGTTCCCTTGTCCATCATGCTCCATCCCTAACCTGAATCAAAGAACAACATATCAGAATTAATTGGGGGTGGGGAATGAGAAACACCAGTTGGAAACCTCTACCCGGTCTTTCAGATGGGTTTGACTACAATTGCTCTCCTTTTCAAACATCAAAATATGGAAAGCATACACATTGGACGATAGCGCTCCTAAAGGTCCTAGGTACACGCTTGTCTCCCATTGGATGAAATCAACACACTTGTCTCCCATTGGGCAATACCTCTCCTAAAGGTCCTAGGTACACGGTTGTCTCCCATTGGAGAAAATCAACACACTTGTCTCCCATTGGGCAATACCTCTCCTAAAGGTCCTAGGTACACACTTGTCTCCCACTGGACAAAATCAACATGCTTGTCTCCCATTGGACAATAGCTCTCCTAAAGGTCCCAGATACACACTTGTCTCCTATTGGAGGAAATCAATACACTTGTCTCCCATTGGACAATAGCTCTCCTAAAGGTCCCAGATACACACTTGTCTCCCATTGGACAAAATCAATACACTTGTCTCCCATTGGACGATAGCTCTCCTAAAGGTCCTAGATACACACTTGTCTCCCATTGGACGAAATCAATACACTTGTCTCCCATTGGACGATAGCTCTCCTAAAGGTCCTAGGTACCAAGTACGACCTCGAAAGCAGAATTTAGACTCAGCAATTAATAAGTACAGATAGTCCTTGACTTATGACCACAAATTTCTGTTCAATGGATTTTTGCAACCTTCCTTGCTGCACTTGTTAAGTGAATTAATGCCGTTGTTAGGTTACTAATGTGCCTGTTAAGAAAGTCTGGCTTCTCCACTGACTTTACTTGTCAGAAGGTCGCAAAAGTTGATCACATGCCCCCGGGACACTGCAACCGCCCTAAATACCAGTCAGTTGCCAAGTGTGGCCAAAGTTTGATCACGTGACCATGGGGATGCTCCAACAATCGTGCCGTTCTAACTTCAAACGGTCACTAAACAGAGGGTTGTAAGTCAAGGATTACCTGTCATCTAATTTCTGGTAACAATTTTTAAGGAGATGTCCCCAGATGGACAGCTGGATTGAGAGAAGAGAGATGCAATGTAAAGGGGTTTGATTTAATCCAGGAACTGCCAGAGGATAATCCCATTTTATGTTGAGACTTACACGTGGCCAGTTTCGTGGGCTACCACAAAAGCTGAAGAAAACCCATCTTCGTGATTCAGAGTGCAGCTCCTCACCGGATGGCACATGCCTGTGACTGGAGCGTAGCCTGTGGAGTACATGAAAAAAAAACAAGATGTTTTTCCCAGTTGCAATGTATGGCTGTGAAAGCTGGACCGTAAGAAAGGCTGAGCGCCAAAGAATGGAGGCCTCTGAACTCTGGTGCTGGAGAAGACTCCTGCGAATCCCCTGGACTGCAAGGCGATCAAACCGGTCAGTCCTAGAGGAGATCAACCCTGACTGCTCTTTAGAAGGCCAGATCCTGAAGTTGAAACTCAAATACTTTGGCCACCTAATGAGAAGGAAGGACTCACTGGAGAAGAGCCTAATGCTGGGAAAGATTGAGGGTAACAGAAGAAGGGGACGACAGAGAATGAGGTGGCTGGATGGAGTCACTGAAGCAGTAGGTATGAGCTTAAATGGACTCCAGAAGATGGTAGAGGACAGGAAGGCCTGGAGAAACATTGTCCATGGGGTCACGGTGGGTCGGACACAACTTTGCAACTAACAACAACAAAACAACAATGGCTATGGAGACTCTCAATCGCCCAGGTCCCGAAAGTGCTTTTCCACAAGGCAACTGGACTTTTTTTAGCATTTTGTTTCCTTGAAAACACTTCGCTTCTCATCCAAGAAGCTTCTTCAGTTCTGATGGAACGGAAAGATTTATATTCTTTACGTCTGAAGGTCGTTTGTCAGCTGAGAGTCTTTTAGGTCACTTGGCGAACTGATCGACCTTCAGAGTGCTAATGACTGCAAAGAATATTCATCTTTCCATTCCCCCTAATGACCAGAGGATTGCAAGAGAGTCCTTGGCTTACGACCCACAATCCGGCCCCAAATTTCCATTGCCGAGTGAGACGGTTGTTAAGTGAATCACTGCAGATGTTAAGTTAGTAACACGGCTGTTAAGTGAGCCTGGCTTCTGCCTTGACTTTGTCAGAAGGTCGCAAAAGGGGATCGCCTTACCCCCGAGACACTGCAACCGTCGTAAATATGAGTCAGTTTCCAAGCGTCTGAATGTTGGTCACGTGATCTCGAGGATGCTGTGACGGTTATGTGAATAATGATCATGTCCCTTTTTTCAGTGGCTGTTGTAACTAAAGTCATTAAATGAAGGAGGTTGTATGTCAGAGTGTGCACAGTTTTATTGCCCCAGGAGTAAACACAGTAAACAGTGGTTTGCATTAAATGGTGGTTTATCTTACACTATCTACAATATCAATACAGCAGGAACAATATACACACACGTGCTAATAGAGCAGGATCCAACAAACCACAATTACAGCAGGAAACGGAAGAAGAGAGAGAACACATCAGCAGAGTCTTCCCGTTATACAAAGGCTCTTAAAGAGACACAGACCCTGCTGAGTCATTACATCTTTCATCTTACATTACATAAGCTGGCTAGCTGTTAAATCAATACCTTAACATTGTATGTTGAGGACTACCTGTATTTGGAAGACCTGGGACTTAGTTGGCTCCTGGGAGGGCTTTGATTTTTATTTCTGCTTTTTTAAAAAAAAGAAAGAAAAAAGAAAGAAAGAAAAAAGAAAGAAAGAAAGAAAGAAAGAAAGAAAGAAAGAAAGAAAATCAAATCTGCTACATTAGATAGTTTCTGAAACATATACTACTATATTTTTGCTTCTAAGTTTTAGAGTTGAGAACTGAGTGTGGTTAAGAGCTGCTATGAGTTTGCTACAATGTTATGTTATAGTCAAGCTATTTTCCAAAGCGCCTGAGGGCAGGACAAGAAGCAATGGATGGAAAGATCAAAGAGAGAAGCAACCTAGAACTAAGGAGAAATTTCCTGACAGTTAGAACAATTAACCAGTGGAACAACCTGCCTCCAGAAGTGGTAAATGCTCCAACACTGGAAGTTTTTAAGAAGAGACTGGACAGCCATTTGTCTGAAATGGTATAGGGCAGTGGTGGCGAACCCTCTCTGTGGGCACGCATGCCGTTGCCACAGTCCTAGTTCTTCAGTTGGGTTTTATAAAACCTTTTCGCTTTAGGCCTCCGCTGCCGTGTGCAAAAAAAAAAAAAAAAAAGGTTCAATCAGTCAATTTCAACTTCTCGCAGGAAAAAAAAGGATCTTGCAAAGTTGGAATTGATTGATTGAACTTTTTAGTCCCACCTAGTCTGCCGTTACCATTGCAGCCATGCCCACCCAATGGGCCACGCCCACCCAATGTGCCATACCCACCCAATGGGCCACACCCACCTGGCACTCGACAATGCAAAAGTGGGTTTTGGGTTGCAGTTTGGGCAGTCAGTCTCTAAAAGGTTCGCCATCACTGGTATAGGGTTTCCTGCCTGAGCGGGGGGTTGGACTAGATGACCTCTAAGGTCCCTTCCAACTTTATTATTATTATTATTATTATTATTATTATTATTATTATTATTAATGGGCCTCACAGTTTTAAGGATTGATATTGTAGTATAGTTAGGCCATGCTGTGTTTTGCTCATGTGTAACTGATGGATGGGATGCCAAATTGTGATTTTAATTTAGATTTTAACTATTACTTATTATATTAGTTTTTTTTTTTTACTGGATATTCCTTGAGTGTTTTTAACTTGTTCTGGTCTCTGGTCTTTGACTGTAATAAACTTATTTGACTTGACTTGACTCAAAGGCACAAAATACCTCTCCAAATCTCTTTAGTAAAGCATCACAAAGCCGTCATGTTCACAGAAAACTGAGCAAGTGAGAATGTACTTCCGTCTGCTTGTCTCTTTGGGTTGATGAGCTTGGAGCTGAGAGAGTTTATTTTGGCACAGATCTGGGCTACCTAAGGGCATTTTTGTCTATCAAAGCCCTCTTGATCAAAAGCGCTGAAGTTCTTCACTTGTGGCAAAGTTGAGTTCTTTGAAGCTGTTCTTATCAGAGGTCATTGCACACAAGTCTTCGCAGGCATCCTGTTTCATTTCACTCTTGTGCTGAAGAGTTCTTCCCAGCTTTTAAAAACTTAATTTCCTCAAAGAATACCTCAGATCAGTTTACTTGGGCTCACAGCTGTGAAAGGTAAGGATGGTCTCAAGATAAGATAAGATAAGATAAGATAAGATAAGATAAGATAAGATAAGATAAGATAAGATAAGATAAGATAAGATAACCTTTATTGTCATTTTTTTACTGTGGGCACAACGGAGCCAGCCGTGTGCTGCAGCTGCCAAAAAAGCCAACATAGTGCTAGGCTGCATTAACAGAGGGATAGAATCAAGATCTCGTGAAGCGTTAATACCACTTTACAATGCCTTGGTAAGGCCACACTTGGAATACTGCATCCAGTTTTGGTCACCCCGATGTAAAAAAGATGTTGAGACTCTAGAAAGAGTGCAGAGAAGAGCAACAAAGATGATTAGGGGACTGGAGGCTAAAACATATAAGGAACGGTTGCTGGAACTGGATATGTCTAGTTTAATGAAGAGAAGGACTAGGGGTGACAGGATAGCAGTGTTCCAGTATCTCAAAGGATGCTCCAAAGAAGAGGGAGTCAAGCTATTCTCTAAAGCACCTGAAGGCAGGACAAGAAGCAATGGATGGAAACTAATCAAGAGAGAAGCAATCTAGAATTAAGGAGAAAATTCCTGACAGTTAATTAATCAGTGAACAACCTGCCTCCAGAAGCTGTGAATGCTCCAACACTGGAGGTTTTTAAGAAGAGATTGGACAATCATTTGATTGGAATGTTATAGGGTTTCCTGCCTGAGCAGGGGGTTGGACTAGATGACCTCCAAGGTCCCTTTCAATTCTATTATTCTGTTATTCTGAGCTGGACTTCTTATGACCTGATGGACATGGAAAGATAGTTTTCTTGGTAACAATATGGAAGTGGTTTTTCCATGACCTTCTGGTATGTTTTCTCTGACCAATCTTTGAACGGACACTAAATGAACTGTGGTAAGTTGAGGACTTCCTGTAGTCTAAACAGGAGATGACCAGGGCACGAGTGACCAACTAGAGATGACATCTACCCTGTTTCCCCAAAAATGAGGCCTACACCAGGGGTAGGCAACCGTGGCTCTTTTATGACTCGTGGACTTCAACTCCCAGAATTCCTGAGCCAGCACAACTCAGCTTGAAAACCTCTCCCTTTCCCCTCAGCATGGCTGGCTCAGGAATTCTGGGAGTTGCAGTCCACGAGTCATAAAAGAGCCAAGGTTGCCTACCCCTGGCCTACACCAACAATAAGCCCTAGCTTGATTTTTGGGGGTGGTCCTAATATAAGCCCTACCCCCCAAATAAGCCCTAGTTTTGGGTGAGGCACACACCTCAAAATCAAGCTAGGGCGGGGATAGGGGTGTGGAGCTGCCCCACGCGCCCCACACCCACTTCCCTTGCAGCCAGGCCTTTCCTCACTAGCCCACTTCTTCTTATGAGGCTTCTTCTTCTGCAGCCAGGCCTACATTTCTCAGTCTCAGGGCTTTCCGGAAGACCTCTGCACCCAAGAACCGAGCTATGGATTCAATCCATAGCTTGGTTCTGCAAGACCTCAGCAGCCGAGTACCAAGCTATGGATTGAATCCATAGCTCAGTACTCAGCTGCATAGGCCTTCCAGAAAGGCCTGACTGCAAAATGCTGACCTGAATGCAGCTGCAGAACTTTGGCCCCAGAAGAAGTGGATCGGCTAGGTGGGGCTGTCGGTGCCAGACGTGAGGTAAGGCCTACCCCGAAAATAAGACCTGGTGCCTCTTTTGGAGGGAAAATAATAATAATAAGACCGGATCTTATTTTCAGGCAAACACGAGTATGACATCTATCAGTGAACACAGGTAGTCCTCGACGTACCACAGCTCATTCCGTGATGCTTTGAAGTTACCATGGCACTGGAAAACCTGACTTATGAGCGTTTTTCACACAAGCCTTGCAGCATCCCCCATGGTCACATGCTCAACATTCAGACATTTGGCAACGTCTGAATTTATGATGGTCGCACTGTCCCCGGGGGTCACGCGATTCCCCTTTTGCGACCTTCTGAGTAGCAAAGTCAGTGTGAAGCCGGATTCACTTAACAACCACATTACTAACTTAACCGCTGCAGTGATTCACTTCACAACGATGGCAAGAAAGGTCGTAAAATGAGGCAAAACTCAACAAATGTCTCCCTTAGCAATGGATATTTGGAGCTCAATATTGCGGTCGTAAGGCGAGGACTACCTGTAATTGCCAAGGCCATCTTGCAGAACACATAGACCTGGAATGACGGGGACAAAGAACCCTCCCTCTCTTGTCCCCAGGCTCCCAATTCAAGTCAACTTCCTCTAATTTAGCATCCTGCAAAGAGCGTGTGTGTGTGTGTGTGTGTGTGTTTAAATTTGGATTGCTAACAAAGAGATAAAGGGAAGCTGGTATAGCTATTTCAAGCTCCTTAGCTCTCATCAGCCAGCTATACCAGCTTCCCTTTAACTCTTTCTTAGCAATCCAAATTTAAACACAAAAATGATTGTCGCAGTAGCAACTGCTGCCTGTGGATAGCCCCAGATTGGGGCTGATACAGGAAAAAGGTTTCTTCTTCCCATATTTGGGCCAACAGGCTGCATCATAAAAAAACACTTAAGACATACATATACATATTTGTCTCTAATTATACTAAAAATGCGAATCCCGGGTATATTCATGTTGAGAGAAGTAGGCTTTCAAACCTCCGGCATTCCACTCTGATGACGTTGGCAGTTAGCCGCCGAAAGCTAAGTTTATCAAACAGTTGTTAGTTTATTAAACAGTTGTTTTTATTTAACCCAGTGTTCGACTACTTCTCTCAACACATATACATATACATATTTGTCTCTAATTATACTAAAAATGCGAATCCCGGGTATATTCATGTTGAGAGAAGTAGGCTTTCAAACCTCCGGCATTCCACTCTGATGACGTTAGCAGTTAGCCGACGAAAGCTAAATTTATCAAACAGTTGTTTTTATTTAACCCGGTGCTCGACTACTTCTCTCAACACATATACATATACATAAATACATACATTTATATACAATATGTGTGTGTGTGTATAAATTTTTTATAATCACGAATGCTTAATATTTTATCAGCAACATATTGTCTGGGTTTCCAACATTTAACTTACTAATACATGTTAAATTCTTCTCTCTCTACCTCGTTTCTCTAGCCATTGATAAAAGGTATCCCGTGTTCTAAAATATACTGAATCTTCTTTCTCTTTGGTTTTCAGTGTCAATCTATCCATTTCTGCACAATCCATTTTTTTTTAATTAACTCTTCCTCCGTGGGTAAATCTTCATTTTTTCCAATGTTGAGCGAATACAATTCTCGCTGGAATTAATCCATGTCAAATTAGATATATACACTCTTTCTCATAGTTTCCTACAATTATGCCTAACAAAAATAATTCTGGCTTAAAATCTATATGTTTTTTAGTCGTTTTCTCTAACCGTGGGTCCTACATATCTAATGGACAGCCGGTTGAAGAAGAAGAAAGAAAGCGGAGAGAATTGAACTGTTTATAATCTAGGGCAGGGGGAGTCAACCTTGGCTCTTTTATGACTCGTGGACTTCAACTCCCAGAATTCCTGAGCCAGCTAAGCTGGCTCAGGAATTCTGGAATTGAAGTCCACGAGTCATAAAAGAGCCAAGGTTGACTCCCCCTGATCTAGGGCAAAAGTTGCCAAGTGCAGAGTGTCTGGGATAGGGGGGTGAAGCCGCCTGAATTTCCAGAGATGGAGTACCTCTTCCGTACTGAAAGCTGAAGTGGGCTTCTGAAGGGGTGGGGAGGGGGCACTTGAGCGCTTTTACCTTGCATTCCAGCTGGTCCAAAATCTTGCCTGGTTAGAAAGATGGCGTGATCGTGATGTTCTGAGTGAGCGGGGTCTGTTTTTTGTTGCTGATATGCCCAACGGCACACGTTCTCCAGGCTCCTGGAGGGGTTTCCTCGTTCAATTAGACTGACGGACTGGAAAAAAAATAACAACATACAAACGGGTTACAAACCAATCTGTTGTTTTACATCATAGCTGGTTAGCTTAGCATCTTCCTTCTTCCTTTCCCTTCCTTCCTTCTTCCTTCCTTCCTTCCTTCCTTCCTTCCTTCCTTCCTTCCTTCTTTCCTTCCTTTTGTTCTTCTTTTCCTTCCCTTCCCTTCCCGCCTCTCTCTCTTTCCTTCCTTCCTTCCTTCCTTCATTTTCTTCTTCTTCCCCTTTTCTTCCCTTTCCATCTCCCCTTCCTTCCTTCCTTCCTTCCTTCTTTCCTTCCTTTTGTTCTTCTTTTCCTTCCCTTCCTTTTCCATCTCTCCTTCCTTCCTTTTGTTCTTCTTTTCCTTCCCTTCCCGCCTCTCTCTCTCTTTCCTTCCTTCCTTCCTACCTTCCTTCCTTCCTTCCTTTTCTTCTTCTTCCCCTTCCCTTCCCTTTCCATCTCCCCTTCCTTCCTTTCGTTCTTCTTCCCCTTCCCTTCCCATATCCCCTTCCTTCCTTCCTTTCGTTCTTCTTTCCCTTCCCTTCCCGCCTTTCCTTCCTTCCTTCCTTCCTTCCTCCCTTCCCTTCCCTTCCCTTCCCTTATTATTTTTACAAATAAGGCAGCAAATCTATCCAGCACACCTTCTTCTTCCTATTTCCCCCACAAGAACAGCCCCATGAGGTGAGTTGGATTGAGAGTGAATGTGTGGCCCAAAAACACCCAGCTTGCTTTCAGGTCTAAAACAGGACTAGAACTCACATCCTCCCGCTTTCCGGCCTGGTGCCTTAACTACTAGGTCAAACAGGCTTTTTAAGCCGTTTACATTTCTTGATGCCCATAGAGGACAATATTTGTAACTCAGGGCTGAAAGGTGGGGTCCTTGGGACTCTCTGAGCTTGCCTGTTTTCCTGCTAGCACTGATGATCATTACCTTCATTTGGGTAATGAAATGTCTGCAAGAAAGCAACCAAGGGCAGAGAGCACCAAGGATCCCACATTTTTTGATAGATGGATGGATAGATGGGTGGATGGATAGACAAGATACATCTAGATAGATAGTACATAAATAGATCTAGATCAGGGGTGACAAACTTGCAACGTCACGTGACGTGTTGCGACGTATCGCAACTTTTTTTCCATTGCCGGCAATGGGGTGAGCACGGGCTGGCTATGATGCATTCGGCCCATGGGCTGGCAGTTTGACACCCCTGATCTAGATAAATGATAGATACCTAGATAGATCTAGGTAAATAAATCTAGATAGATGATAGATAGATCTAGATAGAAGATAGCTAGATTAGATATAAAATAGATGATAGCTAAATAGATCTAGATAGATGAGAGATAGATAGCTAAATAGATATAGATAGATGATAGATAGATGATAGATAACTAGATATAAAATAGATGATAGCTAGATAAATAGATCTAGATCAGTGGTTCTCAACCTTTCTAATGCTGCGACCCCATAATACAGTTCCCCATGTTGTGGTGACCCCCAACCACTTATACATCACCGGGTGCCAGGGGCATGGCCAAAGAAAAGGGGGAAAAAATGGTGGACAGCCTTGTTTGGCGACCCCCGTGAAATGGTCGTTCGACCCCAAATGGGGTCCCAACCCACAGGTTGAGAACCACTGATCTAGATAGATGAGAGATAGATAGATAGATAGATAGATAGATAGAGATAGATAGATAGATAGATAGATAGATAGATAGATAGATACTGTAGATAGATAGATAGATAGATAGATAGATAGATAGATAGATAGATAGATAGATAGATCCTATTTTAACTATTGTCCTTCTGAAGAACTGATGGAAGTACAGTGGTGGAAGCGCAATACAAGATAAATATTTTTTTTTTCTCAACCAGCAAGCAGAGGCCTTCATATCATGTAGTACCCACAGGCACCATGTCTCATAAAAGAACTAAATTTATCACTATGAACAACTTCATCCCCATCCCATTTTTCTGCAACATTCCAGAATCTAAATGGATTCTTATCTCATACTCTTAGTGTACACTGATTTGTATGAACTGCCCCCTAGAAAAAATGGCTGCTGTCCAGGCTGCATCAGGATTTACTTTTAGGGAACCTCTGTATTTTGTAAGCACAGATTTATATTTGGGAGGACGTATTTTCTGCTCCAAACTCTCCCTTTTTTAAAAATAAAAATAAAAAAATTCCAAGCCCTTGGATCTGCTTGTTAAAGCTTCGTATTATCTCAACCGTTTATATTTTTTCGGAAAAATAACAAGCTGGGGGTCCTGCAACTGGAACAAACATCTCATGAGGAAGACCAGATACTCAACGGAGGAAATCAAGCAAGAATGTTTTGTTGGTATTCCAGATTAAGTTATTCCATTTCTAAAATGACTCTGAGGACATTGACCGCTCAATTTATACCCGCTAGTGCGCTGTCCTGGAAACCCACAACATACTCTATATGCACGAGAGTTGTGTGCCAATACAAAAATACAGAGTAAATATTTATTAACTTTGGTGGAAGTCACCCAACCGTCTGATATTCTTCTGCTAAATAATGCAGCAACAATGTTCTAAATGAATAATTGACAATAAAGGCTGCGTAACAATATAAATGTATATATTTCTCTACCCGATGTTAGCATCCAGAGTTTGGATTCTCGTTTTGCTTTGTTTACAGGAAGGTAAACAAGAGGCACTGTATATACAATGATCTGGGGAGACATTTTCTCATTTTTTCATTTTTGAGAAAATAACCCCAAAGAGCACAGCTGAAAATGATTCCTTTTGCTTGCAAATTCTCATGGTGCAGTTCTGGGGCACTGGGATATTACCAGCGGCCCTCTGGGGGATGGTCCATCACTCCTTCTAAAAGCAAAATCAAATAATGATATGGGGAGATATCAACATGCTTGGGGGGAAATGACATTTTTCAACTCATCATCACCACCATAATTTTAGGCATTTGTCTATCTATCCCAGTGGTTCTCAACCTGTGGGTCGGGACCCCATTTGGGGTCAAACGACCATTTCACGGGGGTCGCCAAACAATGCAGTCCGCCATTTCCCCCCCCCCCTTTTCCTTAGCTGTGCTACTCCCTTTTATTCTATTGGCTTTTGAAAGCCAATAGAATAGACTCTCTTTCAAATAGGAATTGTCCAGGCTGTCTCTGCCCTGCTGAGCCCGCCAAAAGTCCCAGTCTGCAAATGGTGCTGCACCAGTTGAGTAGTCCTTGACTTACGACCGGTTGAGTAGTCCTCGACTTACGACCGGTTGGGGGTCGCGGCATTAAAAAGGTTGAGAACCACTGATCTATCCACTGCAGGATGAAGGCCTCTTCCGTGGTCCTGAGCTTCCTTTTGCCAATTGAGCCCGCCATATTTGCTGATGCCATCGGTCTATCTTTTTAAAGGTATTCTTAAAAACCAAGGCAATAACAAACACCTCCCCTGCATATTGTACTGAGTCATTTGTGCTATTGTGAATCCTACCATTTACGGCTTATTTCATAAACCATAAGGCGGATCATGGCATAGTATGTCTGTGGCTAGGATCAAGTGTCGCATTGTTGAGCATGATACATGAGGTCCTTGGTGCTCTCTGAGCTTGGTGGTTTTCTTGCAGACGTTTCATTACCTAACTAGGTAACATCATCAGGGCTAGAAAGGAGTGGGATTTGTGGGGAGGAAGAGGAGGAGGAGGAGGAGGAGGAGGAGGAGGAGGAGGAGGAGGAAGACGACTTGTGGTCTTTGGTGCTCTCTGAGCTTGGTTGTTTTCTTACAGACATTTCATTACCTAACTAGGTAACATCATCAGGGCTGGAAAGGAGTGGGATTTGTAGAGATGAGGAGGAGGAGGAAGAAGAGAAGGAGGAGGAGGAAGAAAAGGAGAAGGAGGAGGAAGACTGTGGGGTCCTTGGTGCTCTCTGAACTTGGTTGTTTTCTTGCAGACGTTTCATTACCCAACTAGGTAACGTCATCAGTGCTAAAAGGGAGAGGAGGAGGAGGAGGAGGAGGAGGAGGAGGAGGAGGAGGAGGAGGAGACTGTGGGATCCTTGGTGGTCTCTGAGGTTGACTGTTTTCTTGCAGATGTTTCATTACCCAACTAAGTAACATCATCAGTGCTAGTAAGGAATGAGCTTTGCTCTCAGTTTATATTCTAGTGGCTTGCCTTTCGCTGTTGGTGGAAGTGGTCTTGTTGTTTCACTCCGATTCCCACCAACACCAAGAGCCGAGGTGGCGCAGCAGTTAGAGTGCATACTGCAGGCCACTTTAGCTGACTGTGTTCAGCAGGTCAGCGGTTCAAATCTCACCGGCTCAAGGTTGACTCAGCCTTCCATCCTTCCGGGGTAGGTAAAATGAGGACCCAGGTTGTTGGGGGCAATGTAAATATATATATACATTGCTTACTGGTGTACACCGCTTAGAGCAGCGGTTCTCAACCTATGGGTCGCGACCCCATTTGGGGTCGATCAACCATTTTTCTGGGGTCGCCAAAGGCGACGATCCACCATTTTTCGCGGCGCCGTGCACGCGCGCCATGCAAGGGGGCGCCACTGCGCACGCGTGCCGTGCATGGGGGCACTGCCGCGCATGTGCACCGCCGCGCATGCACACTGCGCATGGGCGTGCCGTTCACGCGCGCCGCACGTGGGGGGCGTCGCGCATGCGCGTCGCGAGTGGGGCGACACCGCGCATGCGCGCCGCGCATGGGGCCCCGCCCCCATGTGCACGGCGGCGCGCATGCGCAGAACGTTTGTGTGACGAGGGTCGCCGTCACACAAACGTTGAGAAGCACTGGCTTAGAGAGTGCTTGCACTTAAAGCGGTATATAAGTCTCATAAATAAATAAATAAATAAACACTGACAACGCAAATCACTTGGATATAAACAAGCTAGCACTGATGGTGTTAGCTAGTTGGTGAGCGAAATGTCTGCAAGAAAATACCAAGCTCAGAGACCCCACAGTTGAACCCTGAGCTACAGATATTCTTTTCTATCCGTGATATATGAACTGAGTAACATCCAAGTAGGCATGAATTGTTTTAATCATGGCTTACTGAATTAACCACAATGATTGGGATTATCTGGCGTGCTAAGTCCAAACCCAACCCATTATGTCTTTGGATTGGATCCTAAGATCCTGTTCCGTTAAGACCCATAAGACATGTTCGCGTGCAGGAGACAGATGAACCCTTCACCTGGTTTATTTACCTTGGCGTAACCTAACATCATCATACGAACCAGCACAACGTTTATGTGGATGCCCAGGGATTCATCGTGATAAATTTCATTCACCTAATGAGAAGAAAGAGAAAAGGAAGAACAACAACAATGACCAAAATCCTTAGTAATGAGAGAATCAAGAAAAACGTGGATTGGAGACTCCACATTGATTGATTGATTGACTGATTGATTGATTTATTGATTGATTGATTCATTCATTCATTCATTTTATCTAACAGCCCATCTCCTGAGGCGGCTTACAATTACAAAACTATAAAAACATCCAGAATAAATATACATAGCAGCCGAGGCAGCTAATCAGTTCACAGTAAAGTCAAGAAATGGGACCTTTAATGCATTCAAGTGCCCCAGGCTCCAGATCATAGCCAAATTTTTAAACCCTTCTAAAAGACCAATGGGGTTGGGGCCATCCTGACCGCTGAGGGAAGGATGTTCCATAGGGCCAGTGCAGAAAAGGCCCCATAGCTACAAGTCCCCATAGCTGACACTTTTTGGCTGATCTCCAATATGCCCAATCTGTTAGGTAGAATTGGACGGGTAGAAATTCTTAGAAAAAGGACAGCCCCTCAGATAATTTGCAATCTGTGTCAGGTAGAAGGTACAAGCCAGAAGTCCTTGCTTAGGTGTATTTTTTTTTATTTTTTTTATAAAGGGTAAATGATCCGGGGCTTATGTATGCCCCAGGACCTCACTAATTGGCCAAGCTTTACTTTTCTCTTTCTAGATTACAACCAGTTGCTCCAGTTATTTTCAGAAAACTTCTAATGCACTTTAGTAACTGGAGATACCAACTTTCTTTCAGGCAGAACTAACATTGGAGGCTAACAGTAAATGGGGCTGAAACAAGCAGGGATCCTGAGCAAAGCCTAAATGTATGGGATTCTCTTTCTTTATCTTTTAAACACTATTCCTTTCCTTTCCTTTCCCCCTCCTTTCATTCCTTCCTCCCTTCCTCCCTCCCTTAATTCTTCCTTTCCCTCCCTCCCTCCCTCCCTCCTTCCTTCCTTTCTCCCTCCCTCCCTCCCTCCCTCCCTCCCTCCCTCCTTCCTTCCTTTCTTCCTTTCTTCTTTCTCTTTCTGCCTCCCTTTCTCCTTTCTTCCTCCCTCCCTCCTCCTTTTATTCCTTCCTCCCTCCCTCAATTCTCCCTCCCTCCCTCCCTCCCTCATCTTTCTTTCTTTCTTTCTCTTTCTTTCTTTCTTTCTCTTTCTGCCTCCCTTCCTCCTTCCTTCCTTCCTCACTTCCTCCCTCCCTCCTTTCATTCTTTCCTCACTTCCTCCCTCCCTCCTTTCATTCCTTCCTCACTTCCTCCTTCCCTCCTTTCATTCCTTCCTCCCTACCTCAATTCTTCTTTTCTCCCTCCCTCTTCTTTCTTTCTTTCTTTCTTTCTTTCTTTCTTTCTTTCTTTCTTTCTTTCTTTCTTTCTTTTTCTTTCTTTCTCTTTCTACCTCCCTTCCTCCTTCCTTCCTCCCTCCTTTCATTCCTTCCTCCCTCCCTCAATTCTTCCTTTCTCCCTCCCTCCTCTTTCTTTCTTTCTTTCTTTCTTTCTTTCTTTCTTTCTTTCTTTCTTTCTTTCTTTCTTTCTTTCTTTCTTTCTTTCTTTCTTTCTTTTTCTTTCAAATGCCACCCATTCCAACCCTGGGCCACTTACAATATGATAAAAGCAAAAATACAAACCATTAAATATTCAAACTTCTTTCTCTGAAACTCCCTTGTTTTTGCTTTGCTTTGTTTGGAAAGCATCTCTCCATTCCCTAAAATTATGTTTTCACAGCAACCACAAACTTTTTAATTTGGGGTCTTCAAGGGCAACTCTTGTTGCTGAAACGCTCCTCTGTTGCTTAAAATGCAGCATGGCTCTGACACTGGAAAATTGAATGATTCTTGAAAGAAACACCCATTTCTGCATTTATTTGGTGCTAACAGCTCAGAGAGCAATCTCCTAACCCCGGAATCACTTTGAAGAAGAAAACATTAATTATGGAATGAAGAGACCAAAGCTTTTCAATTGCCAATATTCTAAAAGCATCGAAACTGCAATCAGAAAGGTCAGGACAAGAAGCAATGAATGGAAACTAACCAAGGAGAGAAGCAACCTAGAACTAAGAAGAAATTTCCTGACGGTGAGAACAATTAATCAGCGGAACAACCTGCATCCGAAGTTGTGGGTGCTCCAACACTGGAGGGTTTTTAAGAAGAGATTGGACAGCCATTTCTCTGAAATGGTACAGAGTTTCCTGCTTGAGCAGGAGGTTATTCTGTTACTAAATGAATGGTCATAAGTGCAGGACTACCTATACCAGGGGTCTTCAAACTCGGCCCTTTTATGACTTGTGGACTTCAACTCCCAGAATTCCTCAGTCAGGCATGCTGGCTGAGGAATTCTGGGAGTTGAAGTCCACAAGTCATAAAAGGGCCAAGTTTGAAGACCCCTGTTCTAGATATTCCACTTTCTAATCTTACCTGTAGCCTTAGCATTTCCTTACAGTCTCTGATCCAAAAGTGAGGGGATTCAAAACCCTTTGTAGCTTTCTCAAGATTATCCACAATCAATTTGAGGCTTAAGGGACCGAGATCTTAATAATAATAATAATAATAATAATAATAATAATAATAATAATAATAGTAGTAGTAGTAGTAGTAGTAGTAGTAGTAGTAGTAGTACTAGTAGTAATAGTAAAGTTGGAAGGGACCTTAGAGGTCATCTAGTCCAACCCCCTGCTCATGCAGGAAACCCTATACCATTTCAGACAAATGGCTGTCCAGTTTCTTCTTAAAAACTTCCAGTCTTGGAGCATTCACTGCTTCTGGAGACAGGTTGTTCCACTGGTTAATTGTTCTCACTGTCAGGAAGTTTCTCCTTAGTTCAAGGTTGCTTCTCTCCTTGATCAGTTTCCACCCGTTGCATATTGTCCTGCCTTCAGGCGCTTTGGAGAATAGCTTGACTCCCTCTTCTTTGGGGCAGCCCTTGAGATATTGGAAGACTGCTATCCTGTCCCCCCTCGTCCTTCTCTTCATTAAACTAGACCAGTGTTTCTCAACCTTGACAATTTTAAGGCATGTGGACTTCAATTCCCAGAATTCCATAGCCAGCACTGCTGGCTGTGGAATTCTGGGAGTTGAAGTCCACATGCCTTAAAATTGTCAAGGTTGAGAAACACTGAACTAGACATACCCAATTCCAGCAACCGTTCCTTATATGCTTTAGCCTCCAGTCCCCTAATCATCTTTGTTGCTCTTCTCTGCCCTCTTTCTAGAGTCTCAACGTCTTTATTTCTCCCAAACTAAAACAAGAAAATGTTGCACTCACAATATTCATAAGGGTGAGAAGATAGTTCTGCACATGTTCTTTGCCATGGAATCGGACCACCGAGTCATCTACCCCAAGGAGAACCTCAATATTGTAGTCATTTTCTCCGCTGTGTCTGTGTCGCCTCAGTGTTTCATTCAGATCCTGCTCTATTCTTGCATAAGTGGACTCCAAGCTGAGTAGATCAGATTCTGAGTGAAGGAAGGAAATAAATCCAAGGATTAGAAGTTAATTAACATTATCCACAGCTGGACCACTGTTCTCCACAGAGAATATCCCACATATGTAATCGAGATTCTGTCAGCTCAGAAAGGAAACACCATACGCACATCTGGGATTGCATCTGCACATTCGTACATCTGGAATCTTAGAGCAGGGCTTTTCAACCTTTTCACCCATTGTACCACTTTTAGGATATGGCGACATCCGAATACCACCAGTCACCTAGCAAGGTGTCAAAAACTTGATGACCAAAAAAAAAACAGAAAGAAAAAAGTGATGAAGTACAGGTAGTCCTTGACTTATAACAGTTCGCTTAGTGATTGTTCCAAGTTACAATGGCACTGAAAAAAGTGCCCCCCAAGCCACAGCCGAGCAAGACACCTGCCTGCCCACCTGGTGGCGTTCTTCCTCCTGTCCGAGATTTTCATTGTTGTGAGCATTTCTGTTGAGCATTGGCAGCGGGGGTGGGGTGGGGTGGTGTTTGGTTTTTATTCTCTCCCCCCCCCCGTCTGCTGGTTGGTTGCAGCAGGTTTTGGTCACTTCACATGACCCTGGGACACTGTGTCCGTCATAAATATGAATCAGTTGCCAAGCATCTGAATGTAAATCACAAGACCCTGGAGAGGCTGCAACATTCCAGCTGATCGGCGCTTCTGGGCTCAGCAGAAGCACCAGGATCAGTGCTGCTTTCCAGCTGGAGCCTGGCGCTGATCCTGGCGCTTCCGCTGAGCCCTGACAGCCCTGCAGCTCCTGCCGTCTCTCGCTCAGGCTTCTGCGGTGCTGCCACCGGTTCAGCTCATTCCCCTCCCCCGCTACCACTTTTCTAGGATGGTCGCGTACCACCTACCAGGTGCCAATGTACCACAGGTGGTACTCGTACCACTGGTTGAAAAGCCCTGCTTTAGAGCATGAGACTCAACATCAAGAGAATGATTAACAACATAAATTGAGAGATTAGTCCAGAACAACTCTGACCTTTATCCAGGATGACGGAATCTGATTCTTTACTGATATTACTTTTGCTGCTTATCTGGAGACTGTGAGGACTCAAGAGGACTTCAACAGAGCTTTAACACTTCCTCAATGGTGGGTCTTCATAATCTAGGCCCACTGGTGTTTCTCACCACCTCTAGACATTATTTATTTATTAGACTTTTTTTTATCCTGCCTTTATTACTTTGTAAGTAACTGAAGGCAACACACATACATCATGCTCCTGTCTCCTCCAATTTTCCCCACAATAACCCTGCGAGGTAGGTTAGACTGAGAGAGTGGCTGGTCCAAAGTCATACAGTTGGCTTGGGTTCGTAAGGAGGACTAGAACTCAGAGTCTCCTGCTGATTGGCCCAAAGCCACCTAGCTGGCTTTCAATTCCTAAGGCGGGACTAGAACTCACTGTCTCCTAGTGATTGGCCTAAGTTATCCAACCGGTTTTCATGCCTAAGGCAGGACTAGAACTCACCGTCTCCTAGAGATTGGCCCAAAGTCATCCAGCTGGCTTTCATGGCTAAGGTGGGACTAGAATTCACAGTCTCCTAGTGAGTGGCCCAATGTCATCCAGCTGGATTTCATGCCTAAGGCGGGACTAGAACTCACGGTCTCCTAGTGATTGGCCTTAGACTAAGTCACCCAACCGGCTTTGATGCCTAAAGTAGGACTAGAACTCACAGCCTCCAGCACCTTAACCGCTACATCAAACTAGCTATCGACCAAGATATTCATGCAGGAAGCATCAATAAGAGAAGTGTTTCCATGGCTGTTAACGCAAGACTAGGAAGCAATTACATATACTGGCAAAAGAGCAATTATTATAACCCTCATTCTCACTAAATCTAGCCCAGTGATTCTCAACCTTTTTAATGCCGCGACCCCTAACCGGTCATAAGTCGAGGACTACTCAACCGGTCGTAAGTCGAGGACTACTCAACTGGTGCAGCATTGTTTGCAGAAGGGGACTTTTGGCGGGCTCAGCAGGGCAGAGACAGCCTGGACAATTCCTATTGGCTTTTGAAAGCCAATAGAATTAGACTCTATTCAAGATAGTCTATTCTATTGGCTTTCAAAAGCCAATAGAATAAAAGGGAGTAGCACAGCTAAGGATAAGGGGGGAAAAATGGCGGACTGCGTTGTTTGGCGACCCCCGTGAAATGGTCGTTCGACCCCAAATGGGGTCCCGACCCACAGGTTGAGAACCACTGATCTAGCCAAAAGAAAATTATGGAAATAAACTGTAGCTAACGTGCCCGTTTCAAGAAACAGGCAGAGTGAGCTTCTGTTTATTTAAATCAAAGCAAATGAATGAAAGAATAGAGACTTTGAATAATGTTTGAAGAATGCCAAATATCATGATCACATGACTGGTGGATGCTACAAACGGCTGTAGATGCAAGTTGGTTGCCCAGCATCCAAAATGTGATCATGCGGTTATGGGGTGTGTGGCTTACTTCAAAATCAGGTCGTAAGTAGCTCTGGGGAGACCCGTCGTAACTTTAAATAGTCACCAAGCGGCCAGTCATTATTGTGAGGACTACCTGTATTTTTTAAAATGTCATGGCAGGCTTTACAGAACCCAGCTGAAATTCTGACCACTGCATCTGAAAAAGGGACCTTAGCATCTTTAAAAAAAACTAATTGCCTTGGTCCATATGTTGCTCTAAATCAGGGCTCTTCAAATTTGACAACTTTAAGACTTGTGGATTTCAATTCCCAGAATTCCCCAGCTAGCATTAAGAGACAACTCTGTTGTTGTTCTAGATCAGAGGTCTACAAACTCGGCAACTTTAAGACTTGTGGATTTCAATTCCCAGAATTCCCCAGCCAGCATTAAGAGGCAGCTCTATTGTCGTTCTAGATTAGGGGTTCAAACTTGGCAACTTTAAGACTTGTGGATTTCAATTCCCAGAATTCCCCAGCATTAAAAAGACAAGTCTGTTGTCGTTCTAGATCAGGGATCTCAAAACTTGGCAACTTTAAGACTTGTGGATTTCAATTCCCAGAATTCCCCAGCCAGCATTAAAGAGACAACTCTGTTGTCATTTTAGATCAGAGGTCTACAAACTCGGCAACTTTAAGACTTGTGGATTTCAATTCCCAGAATTCCCCGGCCAGCATTAAGAGACAGCTCTGTTGTCGTTCTAGATCAGAGGTCTACAAACTCGGCAACTTTAAGACTTGTGGATTTCAATTCCCAGAATTCCTCAGCCAGCATTAAAGAGACAAGTCTGTTGTCGTTCTAGATCAGGGATCTCAAAACTCGGCAACTTTAAGACTTGTGGATTTCAATTCCCAGAATTCCCCAGCCAGCATTAAAGAGACAAGTCTGTTGTCGCTCTAGATCAGGGATCTCAAAACTCGGCAACTTCAAGACTTGTGGATTTCAACTCCCAGAATTCTCCAGCCAGCATTAAGAGGCAGCTCTGTTGTCGTTCTAGATCAGGGGTTCAAACTTGGCAACTTTAAGACTTGTGGACTTCAACTCCCAGAATTCCTCAGCCAGCAGATCAGTCCACAAGTCTTAAGGTTGTCGAGTTTGGAGACCCCTGCACTAACTTGTGGCTTTGTGCAACTATTGTAGGGGTTAAGGTTAATTGGAAAAACCAGCCTTTGCATGATTGGTGCTACACGCGAAGCCATAAAACAGGCTTTACAAAGCATAGCAATTTTTCTGTTCATGCTTTGGCACATCTGCATGCAGACCCCATGAGGTCATCGCAGCTGACACCCCTCTCCCCAGTTTTAGAGCTGATTAGCCTGGAAAGAGAACCCACTTATGCAAAAGCAATGTGAAAATTAACCCTTTCTCACCCTCTTCCTCAACATATGTCTGCTAGCGCGCCCGAAAAGCAACTGAATATTGCTTTTGGACATTAAAAGTGAAGCTTGCTATGCAATTAACAAGTCAGGCCTGTATTTTAGTATCTGGTGCTGGGTGAATTGTCTTTGCTCTGAGCAGTATAATTACAGGCTTCCATTGATTTTATACATCAAAGCCTTGCCATCTACCATCAGCTGAACTTAGAAAACATAGCAACGAAACGCACCAACTGTTGGAGACTCAGCTATGGTCGTCTGCAGCTACTTCCCTGCCTAGCACATTATCCAGATCAGAAAGCGTGCAGAATCCAAAGCGTGCACCAGTATGCTTGATCAAAAGCTTAATGACTGCATCAACAGGAACCCAATCATTGCTGCAGCCCCCTTGCATGTTTTCCAGCTGAATTGCCTTTGGCTAAGTTGAATCTTTCTAGCTCAGAGGCAGTCTGAAAACTATCAAAGTTGGACCGGCTTTTGAAAATTTCACAGGGAGAACCTGCTGTTGCAGGGTGTATTAACTGTGAGTGGTTCCTTCGCTCTATCTGTCTGTCTGTGTTAGTATTGCTTTATACTCCTTTGATAAGGCCACACTTGGAACACGGCATCCAATTTTGGTCACCGCAATGCAAAAAAAGACGTTGAGACTCTAGAAAGTGTGCAGAGAAGAGCAACAAAGATGATCAGGGAACTGGAGGATAAAACACTTGATGAACAGATGCAGAAACTGGGTTTGGTCTAACAAAGAAAAGGATTAGGGGGTGACATGATACCGGTAGCAGTCTACAACTATTGGAGAGATAAGAGGGAGGTCAACCTGTTACCCAAAGCATCTGAGGGCAGGACAAGAAGTAACAGACGGAAATTCAACCTAGAATTAAGGAGAAATTTCCTGACAGTGAGAACACTTAATCAGTGGAACGGCTTGCCACTGGAAGTTGTGGGTGCTCCATCATTGAGGTTTTTAAGAAGAGATTGGACAGCCATTTGTCCAGAATGATATAGAGTCTATACCAGGGGTCTTCAAACTCGGCCCTTTTATGACTTGTGGACTTCAACTCCCAGAATTCCTCAGCCAGGCTTGAAGACCTCTGGTCTATACCAATGATGGCAAACTTTTTAGAGACTGAGTGCCCAAAAACTGGCCCCGCCCTTGCTC